GCACACTGCTCTATGAATCCTACATCCTGATCAGGCTGGTTACCTCACTGTCCCCTAAATGAATCTTGAGTTTTCCAATCTCCACATCTTGGTTCATGCCATGTTCTCTAACCAGAATGTTTGCCCACTTTCTTCTTCACCTTTCTAAATTCTATCCATTCTTCAAGATTTAGTTTATATCATTCCCACCCCCCAGCCTGCTTCTATATAATGTCTTCATCAAATATCCCAGAACATAGTCAGCTCTCTCTATTGTGAAATATGCTTAATATCTGCTTACACGTTTGACACTAATAGTATATTTTATTGCACAATATTACTTAACTTTTATATATATATATACACATATATATATACATATATATATATATATATATATATATATATATATATATATATTGTATTCCCAACTAGATTTTAAGTGCTTTGAGAGTAGGGACCATTTGTTTTACTTCTTTGTAAGTTCACAATGAAAATCCACCAATCTAACCTTATCTCCAAATAGTCCCCAATATGAACTCCTAAGCCAGACTAGTCTCACCATCCTCCAGATATACCATTACTCTAGGCTTACTCCAGATCTCATGCACATATTTAGTTTCCTTCTCTCCCCAAAATGTCCTTCCATCCCCTCTGTAAATTCTATGTGCCAGTCAAAAGGGGAGGCAACTGCTTCCAGAGAATGACACTGCCACCCAGGGATGGTAGCTATGGGAAGAGAAAAGATGCGAATGGAGAACAGCATAAGATGGACAGCATACAGTTGATGGCTCAGACAAGCAGTGGGAAATATACTCAGATCCATGCCCTGCCTCAAGCCTTTCAAGGCCCAAACTTATACACATTTTTTAGGCAAAGAGCTGATGTAGCACTAAGATAAAACTGCTCTGTCACCCATGAGGCAAAGCAGTGGAATGATGTACACCAATGAAATGGAGATATTCTCTAATCGCCTAATAAGGTATGAGGAATGAAGAGCAGAGAGCCAGGAAACAGCTCAAAGCATGGCACAGCTTAAAACTGCCTGAGCTTGGGGGAGGATGCTCCATCTATCAGTCAGTTAAGCCTTAGCACAGATGCGCCCTGGGGGCTGAGGTCAAACCAGTCAAACCAAGTTTCACCAGCTCATACTATATGATCATCAAAGTTACATCTCCTCCATCAGGCTGCTCCTACCTTCCCTAGCACGCATCAGTCTTCTTATCTCTGCATTCTTATAGCATTTACTGTTTGTTGCTGAGGTGCAATTATTATTCCCATTTTATAGTTGAGGAAATGGAGGCAAAAGTTAAGTGACTTGTCCAGGATCACAGCTAGTAAGTATCTAAAACCAGATTTGAATGCAGGTCTTTCTGACTCCAGGCCCAGTGGTTTATCTGCTGCATGGTGAACTACATCTAAGGAGCCAAGGGACTGATAGAGACTACACTAAGAAACATGAGTGGAGCACAAGAACTTGTGATTGTGGAAGTCTGCTTGCTAGGATTATTTGCTTCTGAATCTACTCATTCTACTTCAAAATGGGTTTGGTAGGGACAGAAGCAATCAGAAGTCACTGCCAGCAAGCAGGTAGTAAGATCAAGATTAGGAAAGCATCACTCTCCAAAGACACCAATTCTCAATGAATACTAAATTCCACGCCCCAGACCCCAACTCCAAAGTGTCTATAATTGTACCGATAACTTAGCCCTACAGGAAGTTGACATTCTACAGGAACTATGTTGTTACATTTGCCTGCTCAAGGGAGAGAGTCATTGCCCAGAATTCCTGGGTCTAAATGTATTCTATGTCCAGGATCACTTGTGGGATTTAAGAGTATGGCAGACTCAGTAGATGTTTTATTATTTTAATATACATTATGTTCTCTAGTTATCAAGTATTTTTATATGCTTACTGAGTCTATTCTCTGAATAAATGCCGCATGCAATTTCTAAGCCACTTTGCCTCATTCTGTGTAAAGTTCACTTCATTATACTAAGGTGACGTGACTGAAGCTCACTGAAATATAATGGAGTTGTATCTTACTTGGGGATTTGGATTTAAACTGAGTATAATAAAATTTGCCTCCTCTCTGCATCAGAACTCCATGGTGAACAGCCAGGGGCACGTTGAAACAGTGAATGTTAGGGAATTTGTCAGGAAACAGCTATCATTTCAGTACAAGGACTGGCTCTAAAGACTAAGTCAGGATGCATCTATTGAGCACCTCCTATGTGCCAGGCACTATACATATACAATGAAAGGTAAAAACAGTTGGTCTAGGGCACAAAATGGGACTGGGAATGAACTGCTGCTGGATAAAACTCCACCATTCTTTTGCCTAGTGTCCCACTGAGGCCTCTCTCCCCAGCACCACAGCCTTTCCTTACCCTTACCTCAGGTGGATTGGAGTGACAGAGAGGGAGGTAGGCACCAGTATCACCTGGTGGGATGGGGATATTCAGCTTTCAGAGCTGGAAGTAAGATTCACAGCTCTCATTTCACACTCACTGCAAGGCATATATGGTCATGGAGTAGAATGGCAGATGTAATCTCCTACAGTATTTAAATCATCATTATCACCAGCAGCAGCAGCAGCAGCATCATTATTATTATTCTCTCTGTCCCCCTCTCTTGGTCTCTCCTCTCTCCTTTCTCTCCCTGTCTCTGTCTTTATCTCTTTCTATTTTGATGTCTGCCTGTTTGTCTCTCATAGTTGAAATTCAATGTGCAAATGTAGTGGCTCTATTGTGCAGCAAGTTCAAAATGAGACAGGGTTAGCCAGTGGGTTGGGAGATTATCCACAAGTCCGAACACCTCTTAACAAGAGTCACAGACTGGTAAAGGCTGAAGTCAGGATTGAAGGTCACTGTCTCTCTGGTAACCATACAGAACAAACACAGCATTCAATCCATCAAGGCTTCTACACTTACCCAAGTCAGGTGGGACTCCTTAGTGAATGGCTCTCAGTGCCACCTGGTGGTTTAAACATTTAAGTGTTATGTTAATGTTCGATGTTATTGTTGACCTCATCTACTCCCGTGAGGCAGGGTGTGCTATTCTTTTGCCACTGAACTTGGCAGTGTGAGGTGTTTTGGGGAAGAGTTATGACCTAAGGCATGTTGTCTGATCCTTTTTTTCAAACTCAGGTGTTATTGGAGTGTTCCATCAGAGGCCCTTTGTTGCCCCAGTTTTGTGGGAACTTGCCCTACCAACACAGATAACCTCTCACCTTCAAGGGGATCTTAACCATTTGTTCTGTGTCATGGAACATTCTGGCAGTATTGCTGAGTCTATAGACCTCTTCTCAGAAAAATGTTTTTAAATGAATTTTAAAAATACTTAGAATTACAAAGGAAATGAAATTGAAATAGTTATCAAAATATTAAACATTCCAAGTTCTCAGACCTTCCTGAAACTTATCCACAGACCACTTGGGTCCATGGATACAAATTAAGGTCCGATGCCTTAGAAAATGACCTGAGGCTCAGTGAAATAATTTGCTTGTAGTCACACAGTAAACAAATGTCAGAGGCAGGATTTGAACCTAACTCCAAGTCCAATGAGCAGCTAGGTGGTACAGTGGTTAGGCACTAGGCCTGGAATCACGAAGACTCATCTTTGTGAGTTCAAATATGGCCTCAGACACTTACCTAGCTGTGTGGCCCTGGGCAAGTCCCTTAATCCTGTTTGCCTCAGTTTCCCCATGTATAAAATGAGCTAGAGAAGGAAATGACAAACCACTCCAGTATCTTTGCCAAGAAAACCCATGTAGAGTCACAATGAGTTGGACATGATTGAAAAGCATAGTGCTTGTCCATTATGCCCTGCTACCTCTTACTTCATTCTTCCACTTATTTCCCTAGAAACGTCCTGATTGTTCAGTTTCATGTTTCCTGAGCGTAGGCCAGGAGAGTCTGAGCAGAAGGCTTTGCTTCTAACAGCATTTCAAAGGATAGCTTTGACTCCTTGAAGCTCTTCATAGTCTTGGGCCTGGCTACGCTAGAGTAGACTGGCAAAGAGCTCCTTGTACAAGTGGAGGAATTATGGGAGCTAGATGAGTAGCCTCTTGCATTGTCCATTTAGTGACTTGGGGGGTCAGAGAATCATTGGGGGGGAGGGGATTTGGAAGGGGAGGTGAGTGGGTTTCTGTGTCTGTGTTTAAGCAAAACTGGGGCAGGGCTAGTGGGTTTGTGGTATTTTTACTTATTTATAAGAATGCCTTACTTACAGTTTTCTCTCCCTCAAGTGGACCCATGGAACATCCAAATTAATAACTGACTTTTATGAAAAACTTCCACATTTGCAAAGTGTGCTCGTTTTCTCACCTGAACTTCACAACCACCCTCTAAAGTAAATATTACAGATATTATAATCCCCATTTTATAGAAGAGGAAACTGAGATGCAGAGAGGTTAATTGACTTCCCTGTCCACTCCACTGCATACAACAGAACAATCCTGCTCTTATCTTAAGAGTACATTTAAGGCACCAAAGGCAGGTCCAGAATTTTTTAACAATAATAGATGACAGGCTATTAAGATCTATCTTTAAAAAAAATATATCTTTTGGGTTTTATATATCTTTATTTCCCAATATATTCCTCCCCCACCCAGAGACTGATCCTGTTTAACAAATAAAAAAAGGAAGAGGGGCAAACAGCAGTTCAGCAAAATTAATCAACATATCAAGTCTGATTATACATGTAACGTTACACATCCACGGTCACACCCTTCAAACCTCCCTCCCCCGCCAAAGAAGGGAAAGAGGTGAATTCTCCTATCTCTTCTTTTAGAGGTCACCTAGAACCGTCTTTTGGTTTAAGCACGGTCACTGAGAGCTGATGGTTTTCAGAAAGATTCTATGTTTGCTTTTATTTGGTGACTGAATGGGGCCAGGGGCAGGAATAGCTCTGCTTTGGGAGATGAAGCGAATAAACAGTCATAACCTCTTGTTGCTCACCCTGCATGTGGTTTCACCTGCAGCACTGGGTTTAATTTTGCCATCATTTTGCATTCGCAGCTGTGCCTCAGATCAACTGTGATGTCAAGGCTGGGAAGATAATTAATCCTGAGTTTATTGCGAAATGTCCAGCTGGATGTCAAGACCCCAAATACCATGTTTATGGCACTGACATTTACGCATCATATTCCAGTGTCTGTGGCGCTGCTGTTCACAGGTGGGGAGCTTTGAGCTATTTCAGGACCCAGTGATCAAGGCGTGGGCTCAGAGAGACTACACACAGTCAGACGGGATTACCTACTAGGGGAAAGGAATGAGTTGTCATGGTTCTCTTTTCATAGCACTAGTTGAAAAGAAGGATTGACTGAGTCTTCATTTAAAGTCACCTTTTAAAAAAAGCTCTCCCTTGATGGAAGATAAATCAACATTTCAGAGGTTTCTATTTAAATCTAGGACAAACAACCAAGTAGAATCAGATAAGATTCAAAGGTGGCAAAAATTATTAACAATTTGCACATTACAGGAAGATGGGGGGAAGAGAAAGCTAAGACACTTGATGACAATCAGGATCCAAAAAAAGATCTTGATAGGATAGACTACTGGGCCACACCTAATGATATAGAATTTAATAGAAATAAAAGCAAAGCCTTACACTTGGGTTCAAAAACAATCAACTTTGTGCAAGAAAGGAGAATTCTGCTTTCTCTGTAATTTATGGTCTTAGAGACTTTCCTAGGATGCTTAAAGGTTAAGTGACTTGTCTTGGGTCACACAGCCAGTCTGTTTCACAGGTTAGACTTGAACATAGCTCTTCCTAGCTCTAAGGCCAGCTCTCTCTCCTCTCCCTATTTCTCATTGCCTTTCCAGGATCATAGATTTTTAGAGAGAGAAAGTCTAAGACTTTAGAAATCATCAAGCCCAACCCTCATTTGACTGATGAGGAAACTGAGTCCAAGAGAAGTTAAATGCCTTGCTCAGGGTTGTACAACTAGTAAGTGGCAGAGCCAGTATTTGAATCCAGGTTCTCTGATTCCAAATCCAGTTTGCTTTGCACAGTACATGGCTTTTGGTAACTCCACAAAAAACATAGCTGCCAAAGTTGCATCTATCCTGAAATCATGGCTTATGGCCTTGGATTTTTGAGACTGTCTGCCATAACAACTTAAGCTAAATGCTAAAACCCAAGCAACAAATTTAGAAAAGTCCTCCTTACTGAATTTCAATTTTAAATAAACAAATCTTCAGCCACCTGGCTATTTGGAATGTTCTTGGACAATATTATGCCTGTGAAGAGAGAAAAAAGATGAAGCTGGTAGGGACCATCCTGAATTTTTATGGCAGGCTCAACTGCTTTTTCCGCTGCAAACTAAAGCCACATCAGTAATTAACAACCGACAAGTGAATCCCAATTGTCATCTTTTATATTTGTGAGGTTCATATAATGATATTCCATAGTAGCAAACATTTTTATAGTCTGACAACTACATGAAAAGTGTAGAGAATGCAAGATCCCACTGTTCTTAGTGCTGGATTCAATAAAACAAAGTCTGAAAACATTTTGGAAGGTTATTCTCTAGCAAGATGTCTCCTGTGCATATGTGAAAATAATGAAAGACCTTTGAATGGGGGAACAACAGAGATAACTTTGCTTGACAACCTGCTGTTCATTAACATCAAGGTAGGCATGAAACAGAGATGTGTATGCTTGCCAAAGGAATTTGCCACTGTCAAGGAGAACGTCCTCTGAAGAAACCATTTGGAAGAGGGACTGTCACTAGAATTAGCCAATTTAACCACTATGTGTCTTGAAGTTATTTCCTGGAGTCCAACTGTGGATTCTTTTGATTGATGTTTTGTTTTCTGTATTCAAAAGTTCTGAACAGTGTTCTTGTATTATTTCTTGCATTGTGGTATTCAGGTTTTTCATTTTATTGTATTCTTCTGGGAAACCTATGATTCTTAAATTGTCTCTGGGCCTCTCCTGTCTTCAAAATCATGACTTTTTCTTTTATAGAGGTCATGCATTCTTTTAACCTTGTTGTCTTTTGTTTCTCTTCTTTCTAATTGTCCTTCATGTCAGTGTTTTTGCATTCCAAATTAGTTATCCTCTTTTTAGCATTTTTGGAGAAATTCACAACTGTAGACTCAAGGTTTTTTTTTTCAATCTACTCATTATTTCTTCTGTGAAAGCTATGTATTCTAACATTTTTCCCTTTCAAGTTTTTTTCTCTTATCATTTTTGTTTCTCTTTTGAACCACTCTTGTTCCATGCTCTCTTGAGATTCCAAGATTTGTTTCCTCAGACATCGGTTCAACTTCTTTTGTCTCATAACATTTAAGAGAGCTTTTTAATTTCTTCGAGTATTTAGCATTTATTCTTCCTTTTAATTTTAATATCTTTTCTGTTGATTTATCTCTTTGCATTCTAGGTTTTTAGTTAAATTCTCTTTCTCTTGAAATGTTGGTGTTTCAGCTTTTCCCCCTTATATTCCTATGTGCACACTGAGTCCTCTCTCTTTGCTAGTGCGTACATGTCCATTCTACCTGCTTCAGCTTCTTCCCACACTGTAGAATTTAGTTTTGCTGGCCTTGATATCTTCCCTAAGTCACTTCTGAGAGGATAAGACTATCCCTTTCCTTCAGGCCCAGTGCAGCCACACACACTGAGCACCTACTAGTTGCTTTATTCTTTCATTCTCTGACTAGGCTTAATTAGCTTCTGCTTCTTTTACATGATTGTGGGATCAAGATGGGTGTTGTGGGCAAAATATTTATAGACTTGGGGATTCCTAACCCACCAATAGATGGAAGACAGCCCAATTCTTTACCCTTCATACACACATCATGTGACCAGGCAAAATCAATGTCTACTGCTTGCTACAATGGAATGGGGAATGGAAAGAGATTTGGGAACAACGTCTGAAGAGTTTCTACAGCAAGAGGGGACTCTCTGAGGAGGTCACAGATAGGTCCATGGGTCAGTTTATGCATCCTTGCCAGAACATGAAGGCAGGTGGGAAAGGGAGGCTGAGTATGAATAACAACAAGAACAACAACAATAATAATAAATAGCTAACATTTATATAGCACCTACTATGTGCCAGGGACTTGCTAAGCACTTTACAAATATTGTCTCATTTGATCTTCACAACAACCCTAGAAAGTAGGTACTATTATAACCCCCATTTTACAGTTGAGGAAACTGAGGCCAAGAGAGGTTAAAGTGACTTAATTAGGATCACATAGCTAGTAAGTGTCTGAGGCTGGATTTGAACTCTTGTCTTCCTGACTTCAGGCCCAGCAATGTATCCATTGTGATTAAAGATTAATGTTTCCAAGGGTTACTTTATAAGACTTCTGCTTTGTCAGGCTTTTCTCTTTCTTGTCCTGTGAATTCAGCTGTAAATGTTCTATGTCTCATACATAACTCCTCTTCTGAGATTTTTTTGAGATCATTAGGGACTAGAGAAAATGTTTACTCTTTCAGTTTGTTGGTCACATGACCTGGAAGTCAACAGGAAAGCTTTTCTATAGATGGTGAAATTCCCCAAATGTTTATGAATGACATTTTGCTAACTGAATCAAGTACCATGATGTTGCAAGGCCTTATAAGTAAGATTCATTATCTCTCAAAGGAGTTCAGCCTTCTATCCATACTAGAAAAACCAAGTAGATGAAGAATGCCTACCTTCCAGATTATCAGATCCATAAGAAGTATGGGAATACCAAGACTTTTTTCCATGGTGCCATATATAAAGGGCATTAACAATACTTGTCATCTATGAGCAACATAGAAACATCGAAGTTTAGTACCTAGTTAATGAGTTTGATTAGTTAAAATAGAAAGCTACCAAATGGCAAACTGAGTGAATTCCTTCCTAATTCCTCTTTTTTCTTACCTTCTCCCTCGGCTGAGAGGGTTCTTCATGCTGCTTGTTGCCAGTATAATTTATAGTATTTGCCCCAGTTACAAATTCCTAGAAACAAAGGCCCATATTTTAAATATTCATATTCATCCTGTGATGCTGAATGGCTATAAGCCATAGAATATCACAGTCTCTGAAGAATTAGAGTTGAGAGTCACCGAAAGGGCAATGAATATCATTAACAAAAAATTCTGCAAAAACACAGCACAAAGGATGTCATCAAAGGGATGTATAACTGGAAAATAAGGTTGGCCAATCAAATGATATGGACTCCACTGATCAATATCAATTATCAATATATAACATCTAGAGATCTAGAGAAAGGATCTGTACCATGTTGAGTAGAGTTCTTGTGAGTGAGGGATACAGACCAAAGTAAAGTTCAGTAGAAAGAGTGATGGATTTGGAGTCTAATGACCTAAGTTCAAACCTTGATTTCACTGCTTCCTACATGTTTGATTTTGAGCAAGTCACTTAACTTGAGCTCTAAGTCTCAAGTTCCTCATCTATAAAATGAAGGAGATAGATTAGATGAACAATGAAGTCCCTTCCAGTTTGAAATCTGTGATTTCATGTTAAGTGTTGCACAGACTGAGAGGCTGCGACTGTGTTGTTATCTGCACTGAAGAAGGGAGTAACCATTTCAATGAGATCACAGATCCATGGAAATATAAGGGTAAGGGGGTTCCAACCTGCCCCAATTAATATCATCACAAAAGGCTCAAATAGTTCAATGAAGCAGTGACAATGCAAACTAGGTGTGAGGGAGGGAGGGAATAAACATTTTTATGTTTATTCCTAGCACCTACAATGTGCTAAGCACTTTTATAAATATCACCTCATTTGATAATATGTGTGAACAAGTCCTTAATCAGTTTGAGAGGATTGACTGTGCTTTGATCACTGGGTAAAGACAGATGACACCCAAATAATACCAAGGCACCCAAATAAAAGAGGGAGAACCATGTCGCAAGTAGAGAGACCTGGACTAGTAACAGATCAGTCGTCCAACAGAGGTGCCTTGAGGAGTCAATCCTGAAAATTGTCATCAGTAATGCTACACACCACAGTGAACTCCAGGTAACTAAGTGGCACATTGGATAGAGTGCCAGGCCTGAAGTCAGAAAGACTCATCTTCTTGAGTTCAAATCTGACCTCAGACTCTTACTAGTTGTGTGACCCTGGGCAGGTCACTTAACCCAGTTTGCCTCAGTTTCCTCAACTGTAAAATGAGCTAGAGAATGAAATGGCAAATCACTCCAGTGGTTGCCAAGAAAACTCCAAATGAGGTCGTGAAGAATTGGACACAACTGAACAACAACCACAACAAACAGTGAATGTCATGAAGGTTCCATAAAAGGAGAAAGGACTTCCAGGGCCAGGGATCATAATATACCCCCATGTCACAAATGTTCTCTACACTTATTCCTCAATACCACTGTAATTTAAGTCTGAGTCCATTCTCCTCAGGGACTTTTTGCAAGCCCTCCCTAGTTGTGGGAGGGAATGTTTTTGTAATTACCATTCTTACCATCCCTTTAGTAAACATATTTGCTGGAAGCAGTTTTAGATCATTCACTGATAAATTGTGAAAAGTATACCATTGGAAGCTCCTTAAGAGGAAATTCTAGCCATTAAGGTTACCCCTAGAACCATGAGAAAGAGTGTGGACATATCCTCCAAATGCAAATGAGAGTTAAGGGATAACCCAGAAGAATATATTACAAATGTATCAAAATATATTTACATAACATTTTCAATATTTTAAAACACTTTTGCATCTGTTATCTTGGTGGTTTTTTTCTTCCTCTTAACTTTATTAGGTAGCTAGGGCAGGTAGTATCATCACCATCACTATGCCTGGCTAGAGAAGAGCAGGCTAGAGAGAAACAGGAGAGAGAGAGAGAGAGAGAGAGAGAGAGAGAGAGAGAGAGAGAGAGAGAGAGAGAGAGAGAGAGAGAGAGAGAGAGAGAGAGAGAGAGAGAGAGAGAGAGAAGAAAATTAGCTATACAAAGCTATTTTAGGTTGATAAACCCCCCAGAGAGTGATGTGGTGAAAAATCAGTTAGAAAGAAATATTGATGTCCATGCAAAAAGTTAATGGAGATTTCTTAGGTTGAAATAGCATGGAACCTCTTGTTCCTGACAGTTTTCTTTTTCAACCAAGATAGCCAGGCTGATTTTAGAGAAGAAAAAGGGAATAAAGATGTCAAAAGAACTGATTCCTTGATGTAAAAACTCATAAGGGAAGAAACTGTTTTTTTATCATAACTAGTTCTGTCACAAACAGAGCTGGATGAGACAAGACGTGGGAGAGATCTGAGAGAGGATACTATTGTTTAGAAGAGGCTAATATTTTAGATGAAGGGATTTCATAACAATAAAATGTTACAGTCACATTCCATCTCTGATGATTTATCAGGCTTCCCTGACTGAGCAATTCTCTTGATTCGATTTCAGAACAAGAGGTTATTGGACATATTTAAGAGAATATGATTTTTCTTTGGTTCAGTCTCTTCCCAGAACTAATCTCTGTATCTATAGAGGTATCAAAGAAAAGGGAGAGTCCTCAGAGATTGATGTAGTGAAGAGTCCTTGACGAAAGACAGAGACAGTCACACGCTTCTGGCAAGATCACCTACCTCCAGACCAGCATCTAATCAGAAACTAGCCGTGAAGTCTGAGATTCAGCTGTTTCTGAATTTATCAGCTGCCCATAGGTTCTGCTAGTGATTCCTAATTTGTGAGCTGGGGACCTCTTGGGGTAACTATAAAGTCCTTTCAAGAAGTACATCACATGAAATGATTTGAGTTAAGCAAACATTCCTTCCTTCTGCAGATAGAATAAATACTTTTCAACAGGTATAGATGTGTTAATTTTTTTCAACTGTATTCAAAGCTATTATGTACTCACACAATAAAATAACACATTCGCTTAAAAGCCTTACTGAATTCAAACAAGTTTTATGCCATTATACATTTTCTTAGCTAATGGATGTTAATAATATAGTCATTATTATGTGGGAAGTCTGTCTTTTTTTTTCACATTAAAAGGGGTCTGCATATTTGAAAAGATCCATTCACAGGAATATAGATTTAGACCAAACTATTAGGGGTGGGGAACCTGCAGCCTCAAGGCCACATGTGACCTTCTAGGTCCTCAGGTGCAGACCTTTGACTGAATCCAAACTTTGTTCTGGACCCCTGACTCTAGTTCAGTTCCCTGATTTTATAGAGCAGGGAAACTGAGATCCAGAGAGATGAAGTGACAAAGCCATACAGGTAGTGGCAGAGCCTATATTTGAACCCAGATGCTAAAAGTACAAATTCAGCACTCTTTTCATGGTAACACAAAACAGTAAGGACCAATTTAATTACAATATACCAATAAAACATTCAATCAATGAGCATTTGTTGGTCACCTATTACACTAGCACCATTGTGGTAAGTGCTTTAGGGTATGATAAGAAAATATTAAATGCTGTCCTTGTCTTCAAGGAGTTTACAGTCTAGTTTGGAACATGAATCATCTTAACAATTAGAGTCAGTATTGTATAGAACAAATTAATTGCTAAATGGTATGTTAGAGATTTATAAAGATTTCAGGGAAATAGGAGAGATTAATGTGGGCTCTAGTATGAATGAAAGCTCTTAGAGATTGTGGGAATTGAGCTAAACCACAGAGCATTGTCAAGATTTACCTAAAAGAGAAGGAGGCAGGATATTCCAGACTATGGCAGCAATAGAAGTAATGGTAGGAGAGCAGCATTTGGAGTCAGGAATCCTGGGCTTGGGTACTGACTCTACCACTATCATGAAACTCTACCAAAATCATGAAATGATTTTGAACAAGTAATCCAACCTCTCTCATACCCAGTTTCTTCAACTACAAAATGAAAGGGTTAAAGTTGATGATCTCAAAGGTCTCTTCCAACTGCTATAATCCATGACTGTAAATATCTAGGGTTTACAGCAGAGATCAGTGACCACAATGCCTTAAGTCACTGAGAAGGTAGTAGGAGTTTCCTTCCCTAGTAGTATTCCCTTTACCAATGAAAGCACAGATCTAGTCTCTATCTTCCTAAAATTACACTTAAAGGACTGTTGTTTGCAGAAATTTATACTACCTTCTTGAAATAGAGTCACATATTCTGTGTTGTTTAGAAAAATTGTGCTTGGAAAGTATCAAAAAGAGAATTTATTTGGCATTATATTTAAAAGATACTAATAGAAATGTCTAATGGAAATAGCTTCTTTTGTTAGAAAAAGAAATTTGAGGGGAACAAAGAGACATTCCTGACTGTCAGAACAATTAGTGAAAGAAAATCTAAGGAAATCAAATAGTAGGTTGTGTTTTTGAAAAAGACATTTCTATGGGTAAGGCTTTTGACTTTTTTTTGTTCTTAATTTCTCTGTCTCCACCTCTGTTTAGAGAGATGGAGGTCAATTTATTAATAGTTCTCTGGTTATGCCAATTTGTCAGTGAAGTAGGTTTCTTTTCAATCTTGCCTCAGATGTTATTCTTTGTTCACAGTGGTATGGTGATAATTCAGGAGGAAAAATCCTCGTTCGAAAAGTTGCTGGACAATCTGGATACAAAGGAAGTTACTCCAATGGAATTCGGTCATTGTCCTTGCCCCGGTGGAGAGAATCTTTCATAATCTCAGGTACCCTCAAAACTGCTGAAATATTTCTAAAGTTATGGTTAATGTCCCACTTTTCATTAAAAGCCTGATAGAGAATGGGGTGACTGGAAAAGAGAGTATTGTTCTTCCTGAGTGGCCCTAATAATCAGAATTATAAAATAATAGGTTTTAGTCATTATTCGATGAGCCTTATTTGAAAATCTGAGTAGACAGCAATTACTCTCTTCAAACATATAATAAGAATCTATAGATCCTATTTAAAGCCAGGCAAGTACATTTTAAAGATGTAAGTGTTGGAACTGATGTCTCAGTGTCTCAGAACTAAGACCTATTTCCCTTTAAACGTTCGACAGGTAAATAAAAAACAGATTACTAAATCTGCTCTTGGCAAAGAGATTGACCTAACATTAAAAATTTAACTTTTTTTTCTTTTAATATTCTGTTCATTTCACCCTTTTGTTTCCCTCAGTTACTAAATTGGCATTCACCAAGCACACCTGGCGTTCTGCTTTACCCTCAGCAAATGGCCTATTGGAGCTCACAGACCAAGAGGGGGAAGGGGTTTTAAAGGTCATGGTGCCCAACTCCTTCATATTACTAATGAAACTGAAGCCCAGAGAGATTAAGTAATTTGACCAAGGTCACACAGTTAGTTAGGACCCGAATCAGGATTTAAACTAGGGTCCTGTGACGCTGTTTATAATTCTTTTCACTCTATCAAGCTGCCTCGAGAAAGAAACTAGAATATAACCTTCATTCTGGAGGACTCTCTGGAAGTCCAAGTTGACTCTGGGACATAACTAAGGAGGCCAAAAAGTCCTTAGGCTCCTGGGAATATTTCAGGTACTTTGTAGAACCCCAGAATTAAGCGTAGGGTCTCTACAGGTCATAAATTATTTGTGAAATTTTAGAGCTGGAAGAGATCTTAAAGATTGGCAAGGTCCTTTTACAATGAAGAAATGAAGAGCCAAAAGCTTGAATTAACTTGCCCAAGGTCATACAATTAGTTAGTCACAGAGGGAGGATTAGAACCAGTCCCCAAACTCTCAATCCAGTTGTCCTTTCTGCAATACCATAAAGGAGCAAGGTATACCACACTTGAGCAAGATCAAGGAGTAGTAACAGGGCTAGAAAGGGCCTTTCAAGAGTATTCCAAACTAGAATAATCTCTTCTGTATGCCACCCCCAACCCCGGCCTCTCTGTACATCACCAGGACTCAGATTAGACCAGCGTCCAGCCAAGAGAAACCAAGATGAATTGCTATAATTCAGGGACTACGTTAAAATACTAATACCAGGAGAGCCAGAAAGTAGGACATAGAGAGATATGTCTGACCCATAAATATCTCGCATCTATTACCAAAAAGAGAGATGTCATCCTTGAATTCTTAACCTGGAATTTTCAAACTCCAACAGTAGTAGAATGAATGGCACCATTTCCATGGTGGGGGGGGTCAAGATTCTCAGGTCTTCACAATGAAAATCAATATGTTTAAATATTTACTTCACTGTAAATCCCAGGAACTATGCCTCAATCTCCCTACCTTCCATTTGGTGACACTGAAATGAAGATTTGGGGGATTTCTTGCCTTTGTTTTGTGAATGTTAAATATTTGTGTCTCTGAAACAAGGAAAAGGTCTCTTCTACATGGCTGAGTTAGAGGTTTGCACTGTGGCATGAAGGTATAAATTGACTGGCAGCCCAAATAATCGTAATCATTAGGCAGTCACATGGTCACCTCTAGCATGGTGTGAACCTTTGGCTTTCTGCCAGCCAGTTTATCTGGATTATGTCAAGATTCTCACTTGAAAGCTGAGATGCGTCAGTGACCTTTCTTTGAGTTTTTATTTCTAATTTTCACACTTCATTGTACTCTTCTAATTAATACATGGAGGTTGGCTTGAGGAGGGAGACATGGGTATTTTTGTCAGCAGGATGTTTCCACACAATTCAGGAAAGGGTTGGCTATGTGATTCCCTCAAGAGTTTTTAATATTACCCATCTGCTTCCTGGTCTATGCTACAGAAGGCTGAGATCAGATTCCTTTGCCTTTTGAGTAGTACATAGAAAATGAGATGCTATATTTTCTTAGCTCTCCAGTGGGTATGTATGTGCACAAGGGCACTTAAATAAGACAGAAAAGAAAAATAAAAAGATTTGTAGTCTATATCGTGTGATGGGGGCCTGGAAATCTTAGCCCCCTGCTCACCAGATCATTTTTTTATGAGCTGAAACTATTCACAAAATTTTCACAGAATTTCAGAGTTGAAAAGGACCTCCGTGACTCTCTAACCCAACCCATTTCAAGCTTCTTGTCTCATCCCATTTCAGTGGTATTCGAGTAGCCTGAAATAGCACTGGACTCCGAGTCTACAGACCTGAGTTCAAATCCTGGGTCTGACGCCGTGAAATACCTTGGACAAATCACTTCACCTCTCAGGCCTTAGGTTTTTACTGTAAAATGAGGGGGCTGGGTTAACTCCAACTCTAAATTTAAGATTCTATTAAGCTTGACTATGTTACATCCCTATTCAAAAATCTTCCACAGCTCTCTCTTTCCTCCAGACAGTATCTTTCCAGACTAATTTCATATTACTCCCCTTCATAAACTACACTGGAGCAGCCAAATGGATCTCCTTGGCTTTCCACAAACAGAGCATGCCTTCTCTACCTCTGCCTAGACATCCTCAGCCCCTTAGGATCTCTAACTTCCTTCAGAGCTCAGATCAGGTACCAGCTCCTAAGACAAATTTGTTTTATTCTCCCAGTCCCCATACTCCGTGTTGTCATTGCTTTTGGTCTCCTCAAATTAACCTAATCCATCAGTAAACATTTATTAAGCTTCTATTTGCTTGCTTATATACATGTTATATCTCATTATTGAAATGGATAGACTGGAAGGGGGGGGAAGATCCTATGACCCTAAGTATTTAGTCTACAGTGATAGTTATGAGCTTTGTAAACAAGCATATAAATCACCTAAGGGTGACTTTGGGGAAGCAATAAGGTTTGTCTTTAGCATTCCTAGGTTGCCCATTCTCCATACATTTTTTTTAGCTTTCTCTTTGCCCTTCTCTGTTGCCCAAATGTCTTCGTAATCTTCTCCTCTCTCCCCTCAAACTGCCTAGGAAAACCTACTCCTAGGAAAAGATCTGAAATTCATTCACCATGAGGTCAATGTAAAGGTTACAGCTTAAAATGTTCTCCTTCCTGAGAAGGGTTTTCATTTTAACAGAGATTAAAGCCTTAAATGGAATTTCAGACAGTAGCTAGTGACTGAGGAATATATTTGGGATTCCATCATGCTTCCCAGAACTTCTGAAATCATAGATTGTAGGAGTCACCTACCCTGACCCTGATCACAAGGCTACTCTCTTCTTTTGAGGAGTAAATTAGAATGTTGCAACTAGAAAAGATCTTAAACGAAATCATTTTACAAATTAGAAACTAAGACTTACTTCTGTAGAGTGATTCACCCAACTTCATACAGCTGATGTGTAACAGAGCCTAAACTCAACTCCAAGTACAGGAGATATCCTTGTACTCCATTGCCTCTAAGGACCACTTTCCCTTCTCCTAGGAGAATATTAATTCTTAGGATTTTAGGATTTAGAATTGGAAAGAACCTTAGAGAACATTCAGTCCAACTCCCCCATTTTCTGTGTGGAAAATTCAGGCCCCAAGAAGATAAGTACCCAGAGACACACAGGCAATGTGTAGCAGGAACAGAGTTTGAACCCACACCCTCTGATCCCAAATTCGGTATTTTTTTTTACTACTCTGAGCTATTAATAAATACCAGAAGTTAGCATTCTTCACTGCTCATCAGACATTAAAAGTCCTTGCTAGGTAGTGGAGAATGGTTATTTTTTCATCTTTTTCATTTGGGACTTCTTTAATGTCATGTAGTGCTAATGAAACAAAGATGTTTGCAAAGATGAGAGGGGAAGGCAGTGTTACTGTGCAAAGGGTGCTGGATCATAGGACCTGGGTTCAAATCCTAGCTCTGCTACTTACTAGCTGTATGATGTTGGCCAAATCATCTGAGCTTCAGTTTCCTCATCCGCAAAATGAGGCAGTTGGTCCAAATGGTCTCTTAGCCCTTTCCAGCTCTAGCTCCAGTATTATGAATCCTCCTGGCTCTAAATTTATGATCCTGTGATTATCCTATAACCAACTTCTGAATAAGGTCTATCCATCTATTATCTAGAAGTGTAGTTTATTGCTTGCTTTCATTTATCTACTGAAATTAAACACCTAAAACTGTATACAAATACCTAAGTTTACATACCATGTTTCCATTAGTCAAGATTGGCACTTAATGTTTAATCATTTCCAGTTGCAGGGATTTCATTGTTCCTATTCACATCTTCCTAATAAAGTAAAGCCTATGTGAGAAAACTAAATGTTTCTTTGGCTTTGATATTTGTTTTTAATAGCTCTGCCCAAGATGGGTTGGCTTTGTGCCTTCTTAGCGTAGATAACTCCAAAGAATGGTAGCAGGATCAATTAATATAGAGGATCAGCTAAAAACACCTCCTGGAGAAATAATCATCAACTCTTTCTTTTTTGCAGAAGGTAAACAAAAAAGAGGAGTGACCTACCCATCAACTCTTGAATATTCATCTCCTAAAAGCTCGGTTGCTAAAGCAGGTAAGTGATTGATTCCTGTATGACTCCAAGGACAGTTCCTGATCAATCGGCTTGTTTTCCCCCCAACACAGTTCATAAATAAGCAGTATGAGGTTTCTTGGGATGGTCTCAAAATCAATATCCTAACACTGGGGTTCCCCTGAACCCAAGAAGATTTTAGGATGTAAGCACTTTGAGGGCAGGATTATTCCATTTTTGTCCTTGTATATCTCTAACATCTAGCACAGGCCTATAATCAGTTGTTAAGTTGTTTTTCGTGGGATCTGTGACCTCCTTTAGAGTTTTCTTGGCAGAGATACTGGAGTGGTTTGCCATTTCCTTCTCCAGTTCATTTTATAGATGAAGAACTGAGGCAGAGTTAAGTGTCTTGTCTAGGGTCATACAGCTAGTAAGTATCTGAGACCTAATTTGAACTCAGGTTCAGGCCTGGTGCTCTATCCACTGCACCACCTAGCTGCCCACAACTAGTAGCACAGGCCTGTAACCTTGTAGTCACTTAATAGGGATAGGCACTGGACATGAAGAAATCCCCTCTACCAAGTCCAGTTAGCACATTCTCTGCAAATTATAGCCTTAGACAGTTGCCTGGAGCACTCAGTAGGGACTTGTTCAGGACCAAACAGCCCAGGACTACATAGCCATTTGTGTTAGAGGTGAGACCTGAACCCAAGTCTTCTTGGCTCCAAGGCTGGCTCTGTATACATTGCACCAGGCTGCCTCTCCTTAGTTAATTACTGTTTGGTAATTGATTGACTGATTTTAATATGTGCCAAGAACATGGGCACAGAGATGGTGGTACCTTTTGTGTTTTATATGCATAGCAAATGTGAGAATGTTTTCTGTTTGTCCCCAACTCTGAGGCTGGCAGCATTTCTGTTGCTGTCCAACTGGATTAATGTTGCCTTGGATTTTATCGTTTTGTTACATTTCATTTCTGGCTACTTCACATTTATGCTAGAGCTCTGTTTCCTGGAAATCCAGTAGCTACACTGGAATTTAAAAAAAAAAAAGGCTAAATCTACCCAGACACCCAGAGAGAGAGAGAGAGAGAGAGAGAGAGAGAGAGAGAGAGAGAGAGCGAGCAGAGTGAAAGCACCTACCTGGTCAGTGTGACAAAAGTTCAAATAATTCAGGCTGAAAAAACATACCTGGCCTGGCCTCCCTGAGAGTCACAAAGTAGACCCATTTGTCAGTTCCTGTCATAGAGCTGTTGAAAGAGAACAAAATACCACCTGATTTTTAGACTTCCTGTGTGATATTTATTTGATCTGGCAAACATTTGTAAAACACTTACTATGTGCCAGGCACTGCAAGATAGAAAGATGTCCTTAATGAACATTTTACTGGAATTCTATATCTACTCCCACATCAGCTCAAAGAACAACATTCACATAACCGAATCCATGTAGGGGAAGATGTTTGCTTTATGCAATTCATTTTTCAGGTACCTGACCTGAGATAAAGATAGGTATTCTAACTTCCTATCTTAAGTGAGTATCCTTGAAGAGAAGGTGGAGAAAAGGTTGGAGGAGCCTATCAATAGCCTGAGGGTTGGATTATAAAATCCATTTCACCTTTAAACTCCTCCTCAAGGGCAGGAACCATGTTCTTTTGTACTTTTAGCAAGGCACTTCACCCTTTTGTCTCTCAATTTCCTCATCTTCAAAGTGATCGGGTTGGACTAGATGGTCTCAAAGGAACCTTTCAGTTCCAGATCTGTGATCCAGTGGTTCTAGACAGAATCTAATGCTCAGCTGTATCCACTGGTCCTAACATCTGTGTTACTGAGAGACTGGCAGCCAAAAGGAGATTTGTTGATGGCATCAAAGAATTTCAGAACTTTAAAGATGGGATGGACCTTCAAGACTATCTGGCCTAGGGGCAGCTAGATGGCACAGTGGATAAAGCACCCGTTCTAGAGTCAGGAGGACCTGGGTTCAAATCTGGCCTCAGGTTAGCTGTGTGACTCTAGGCAAGTCACTTAACCCCAACTGCCTTGCCAAAAGAAGAAGAAAAAAAAAAGACTATCTGGTCTAGACTTGTTGCCTTACAGATGAGGAAGGAAAGTGATTCTCAGAGAGGATTTTCCCAATTTCCTGCAAATAGTAGCAAAAGGCCCAAGAAAAAGCAATAGGTTAAATGCTACCTCACAGTCTGCCCACATTGACTTTCTCTTCTACCTAACAATTGCCTGAAAAGATTGATAAAATTGCTTTCTAGCATGAGTATCTGTATAAATATATCTTTCCCAAGAGTTTATTAAGTAAATACTTTGTGCCAGGCAAAGTACTAGGTGATGGGAATACAGAGGTAAAAATGAAAGGGTCTTTGCCCTCAAGGAGCTTACATTTTATCAGGGGAAAAATGTACACACACACACACACACACACACACACACACACACACACACACGCCAATTAAATACAAGTTAATTGGGGGGAGAATAGCTACTAATAGCGGAAGGCATGAAGAACAGTCTCATGCAGTTGGTGGAACGTCAACTGAGCTATAAGGAAAACTAGGATTCTAAGAACTAGAGAGGTCTTAGTGGATCACCCAGAGTTGCAAGATTCTGTGAGTCATATTTTAATTCAACAAGAAGGTGTCTCCTCTAGCCTACAAGAATGTCTGTTTAAAGTTTTCATCCATTCAAGCTAAAAACTGCAGTAAAAACCACAAAAATACAGTCCTTAGCAACATTCTTCCTTGAGCAAATGAATTCTCTTAAATTCAGAGAGTCAAATCCTGTTGGGTGGGCTTGCAAGCTTCATTTATTCACCCATTCATTCTATAAACATTTATTAAATACCTACTGTGTGCCAGGCACTGCACTAGGCACTGGAGAAATAAAAAGAAAACAGCTCCAGCTCTCCAAGAGCTTACATTCTACTAGTCATATTATCAAGAACAAGCAATTAGATAGCAGGGGCCAGAGTGGATGAGCAGCTCTTTACGTTGCAGCTGGCACCTGCCTCCCATGTTAACAGGTAAATTAAGATTTCAACATAAGGGATGAAAACACACTTCTGTTGGAAAGTGATGCCACTTGAGTGGAAAAGGTCTTAACTTGCACAGAAGACTAACATTATGTGAGATTTCAATCCTCTCTGTCAGGCTGTCAGAAGTCCATAATGTGGGCAGCTGTAATTTGGTTAGGCTCCATGGCTACGCAGACCAGATAAAAATAGATAAGTGCTGGTTTACAAAAATCCACCAAAACTATGTGAAATCATGTGCTTCATTATCCGCAAACAAAGGGAAAGGACATGAGTTGTTGGTGCAGATCGCTGGGCAAGAGTGCCCAATGCCAAAGTTGCAACCACCCCCAACCCCAACCCCCTTTTTGTGTTTGAATTTCCTCTGTCTGGAATTCAGACAATGAATCTAAAAAGCAAGGGGTGGGCTTCCCAACTACTCTGCTATGTATAATGCATTATGTCTGCTATCCTCATCGTTGGTACCCAGCTAAGTAGTACAGCTTAAGGCTGCTGTACCCTCATGACAGCAGATCCTGGAGAAAATTTGTGTGACCTCAAACTGCTAATTTTTATGTTGTCCTATCTGTTTGTTTCTCTAACTCTTGAAAAGATTCCCTTTGACCTCATGCCATGCTTGCAGACCTGTAACTGACGTGAGGCAAAGGGTCCCAGGAAACCAAAATTTGGAAGGCATTTTTAGCACTTCTTTTAATAGCACAGAAAAAAAATTAGTTAAGCACCTAATAATTAGAAATAATTAATCAAAATACAAAGGTGCCAGATGACAAGGTACTCCTCAAGTTCCTAGATATCTCACTTCATGCATTCACTCATGCTTCTTGTAAAATAAAAATATAATTGTTTACTTAGACAAAATCACAGAACTAGTAGACTTCCCCTTTCTCCTTAAAAATCATGAACTACAATCATATAAAGCAAATGCTCCTAAACTCCTAAGAACAAATATTATATTTTGTTACAAACTTAAACTGTTATTATCTTCTTCAAATGTTGCTTTGTTTTCTTTCTTTCCCCACCCCAGGTCATTTTCGTAGCATCTGGCTGGTCTAATTTGTTTCAGCTGCTAACATTGGGAGAATTCTTAATTATAAAACCTGTCTTTAAGATTTACTCTTTGAAGTTTTCATCTTTTTTAAGTAATTAAAAATATCACAAATTCAGTACTGCCTGTACACAGGAGAAACACTAACTGACCTCTAAAGGTTATGGCCAAGCCTGTGATCATCTCATTCTATGGCACCATGTTCAGATATATAGTACTCTATTAGGAATGAGCAACAAATGAAATACCTGCTTCTTGTATTGACTAGATTTAATTACCATCAAAGCCAAATTTTGGGTTAAAAACAGATGATTTATTTCTTTATGTAAATGCTAACTGCATTGCCCCAGCTGATGAGGATATCAGAGTGGAAGTGGAGAAAGTGTCCCAATTTGGGTCAGTTGATCTGGAATGCCCTTACCATACTCCTCCTCCTGTTCCACACACAATGGTACTATATTTGGGGATGTGGTTCAGTTAACATTTCTCGAAAGTAGCATGGTCAAGTGGTGTCTAAGAAGGGGAAAATATGTGAAAAATGTATGTTCATATATATTTAACCTTAAAGAGAATGCATTTATTTCATATCTGTAATATATGCCCTCTATTTTGACACCACTTCAGAAAACCTTATCATCCTGCAAAATCCCACCAATCTTAGTACTCCATCTCCTCACTGCCCTCTGCCCCTCAGATTGAAGGGTGGAGCCATAAATTTCAAAATCACTATTTAAGGAGGAAGCTTGGCTGAAAGAAAACATCTCATTTCTTCTCTGGCTGTACTACTCTGGGATATCTTTGACTTCTTTACCATGCCCCCACATGAGGTACCTTCTTCTTCTCCTTTTCTGCTTCCTTTTGTGTATTGTCTTCTCCCATTAGGTTATAAGCTTCTTGAGGGCAGGGACTTTTTTAAAAAACATATTTGTATCCCCAGTGCTTAGCACAGTGCCTGGCACATAGGCACCTAATGAGTGTTTGTTGACTATTACTTGACTATGTCACTCTGTACAAAATATATATATATGTATGTATGCATGTAAATACTAGATATATCTACATACACAAACACATGTGTATTCTGAGAGGCAGCCTAATATAGTGGATACAGAGCTGGTCATGGAGTAAGAAAGAGCTGCATTCAAGTCTCACTTCTAATACATACTAGCTATGTGACCCTGGATAAATCATTAACCTCTCCATGTACTAGGCAATTCTCTAATGACTATGAATTGCAAAGCAAATGCCGAAGATTATTTGATTATTTTAAATTTTTCCCAGGGGTTCAGACTTATGATTTAAATGGTAGGAGGCTCTTCCAATGAAGAAATTCACTTCAGATCTTCAACTGTTCTGAAATACAGTCTTAAAGAGTAGCATGGAGTTGTTGAAAGGGTAAGTCATTTGCCCAGTGTCACACAGTCAAGATTTGTGAGAGGCAGGACTTGAACCCAGGTCTACCTAATTCCAAAGTTTATATCATGTGCCCCTCCCCATCCACTATGCTATGCTGCCTCTTATACTCCTTCCTAAAGTTAGATAGATGCCTTATGTACTATTTAAAGCTCAATCTATACCTCAGCTATACAGGCTTGAAAACCAAGGGTCTTAGGCTGTGATGCAGCCACATAGGACTGGGAAGAGTTGGCCACTGTGTACCCTTCTCTGGCACAAGTTTCTTATTTACAAAGGGAAACATCTGAGGAAACAAAGGAAACCCATCTGTTTCCCCAGTCATTGTGCCATCTTTTAGTGGACTAAATTCACTGCCAGGTTACATTTAGAGGTTCAGTATTAGTCATAGAATCATAAATTGTCAGAGCTAGAAAAAGAAAAAAAAATTAGAGATCATTTAGTTCTCTTACCACCCTAGCTCATCTTACAGAAGTTAAGTAACTTGACTAAAGTAACATAGCTGGTTAATGACAAAACCAAACTCAGGCTTCCAATGTTCTTTCAGTTATACCATACTATGAATATTAATGAAATAATCCAATTATTCTGTAGGGCAATAACTAGAATGATATTTCAATTTTTGGAATCATTCTAGATCATTTGGCATGACACACCATTTCTACTTGACAATTAATTATGTCCTTGTGCCATCTCTTTCACAGTTGCCTGGGATGAGTATTTACTAGTCTTCTATTGCTATTTTACTTTTCGTGTATGGGGTGTTCAAAAAAAACTAGCACCTCTGGTGTGAGGGCTTGCCAAGTCCTCGTCAGGGCTGCTCATCCACCCTTGGGTCCGTCTGACATCCAGCTCCCACCTGTGGCTCCAAGGAGCTGTAGCATGCACAGCAACCACACCCGAGTAAAACATCCTGGCAGATAGCTAAATCAGGTTGAGGTTAATCAACAGGCTTTAAGCTTGTTGGTAAATCAGGAGGATGTGAAGCATGTGATGACTTCCCCCAGTGGAATGGGCAGATAAGAACAATTTGTTCCAACAACCATGAAGGTGGCTGAAGCAGGCGCTGTGGAGCACTTAGAACTTGGTCAAACACTGAAGATGCCAAGGTCACCCACTGCATCCTTTGCCATCACCAGTTGTCCTAACTTTTGTCTTGCCGCTGGATTTTGATGACTTTGTAAGAGAGAGTGAGGCTAATGAGGCTAATGACTTTGTGCGACTCTGCCGCACTTAAATCCAATTCATGAATAAGACATCAGCCATGATGTCAGTGGTCCTCTTTAAACATGGAAAAACAACAACTTTTCATGTGTTTACGTGTTGTCTCCCCAATTGGAATACAAGCTCATCGAGGTCAACCGTGTTTCATGTTCCTTGGACCACCCACAATATCTAACACAGTCCCTTGCATTGTAGTAGCCACTTAGTAATAGTCTGTTTGATATCTGGCAGTTCCCCAGTTTACCAGGTATACATATCAAACACATGGTCCTTGGTCTGTATGTGCCCCCAATACTTCCAAGGGCAGCTCAAACCAGATTAAAATGTAATTGGGAAATATTTAACAAAATATACTAAAAATATACTAAAGCACAAGTAAGATCACATTTTAAAACTTAGTCAACACACAGCCTATAGGGACCCTTATATATGGGGATATGTCAAGGATATGTCCCTATTTCTGTTTGAGTTCAACACCACTGCACTACAGATATTACATTTTGCAAGACCTGATATGATTCTTTTTTTCTACAGATGAGACCACAAAGCCATATCAGAAGCCTACAGTACTTCTCTCAACCACCCCACTGCCAACCACCACAATCCGAGTACCTGCCACCACCCCAGCTGAGCCCCTGAGCACCACTGCAAAGCCATGGATTCCTCTAGACACCACCACCACCACCTCCTCCACCTCCACCATCACTGCCAGACTGCAGCCTGCAGGCCACAGGATCAGAGATACCGGTCAGTAAAGTATACCAAGCTCATAGGGTCATAGGTTTAGAGCTGGAAGGAGCTTCCGAGGCCATCTAGTTTAACCCCTCAGTTGATAGATAAAGAAACTGAGGCACAAAGTATCTAAGTGACTTGCCTTGGGTCACAAAGCTAATGTCTGAGGCAGCTGGTAGTTTTCTCAAAGGAGGAAGGAAGGAGGGCAGGAGAATTCGATTTTGCGCATTTTAATTCACATGCCAGTGATTTTTCATGCATCAAGGGAACAATCTTAAAAGCTATATGTAGTTTGTTCATTTTGTAGTATCTGAGAGTGGTCCAAGGAGTACAACTGGTAGAAGGCTCGCTTCCTTCTGCAACCAAGGAGGTGCCTTATTGTTCACATCCTCCCAGGTGTGTAGAAGATCATGGAGACTCATAATACCTACTTTTTTTTTTTAAGAGAAGCAATGTGCTATAGTAGATTGAGAGCCGGCTTCTAAACTGAGATGATCTGGTTCAGGTCCAGTCTCTGATATACACTGCTGTGTGACCCTGGGCAAGTCATGTAAACTCTCAATGCTCTAGGCAACTCTCTAAGACTAGAAATGGCAAGGAAGGTGTCAGTCTGCTTTGGTGGAAGATGTTTCCTTATCTGGGAGTTCCCTAAACCAATTAAATTACAGGTTGAGTCCCTATCCCTATCCTATTTTATTAAACAATATGCACAAGGCAGAGGCCTGGGACCGAGTAAATTACATGGTAGTGCTTAATACTATATTCAAAGCCTAGAACTGGTATTATGGTATTAGTGGTGAGGATGTCGTCTTACAGCTTCTCCTTTGTGAAATTACTGTTTCCCTCAGGCCTCACTTGAAAAGACCTCAAGTTTCGAGGTTACCAGAAGTTTTAAAATGAACCCTCTCCCTCAAAGAGTGGCCCTTAGGAAAATCCAGCTCTCTGATATGTTACATCCTTCTCTGATTACTTTATCCTTACCATTCATATCTATTATCCACTGCATCCTTACCGTATAAGAAAGGGATTGAGAGAAGTGTGATGGAGGATTAATTGGATCCCTATTTTATTCCAATCAGTGTTAATCAGTTTTATATAATTCCATAGGGGTAGTGATTTTGTATGTTAGGCTCCAGAGCTGTGAACTGCAAATAATACTGGTAAAAAAATGTCCCGAGCAGCAAGGTGGCACCGTGGATAGAATGCTGGACCTACAGTAAGAAAAACCTGAGTTCAAATCCTAGCTACTGTAAGTTCACTTGCTTAATCATAAGAAGCTAACTAGAGGACCTCATCCCCTATTTTTGCCTTGTTATGGTAACCAAGTCCAGCATGGCGGAGGTGACTCAATAACATGGAAAGTCCCTCAACTATTTGTGTTGCCCCTCCATCCCTCATCATCTCTCTATTACCCAACATGGGGAAATGGTCACAAGCACTTGACGTCAAGTGGCCCTGTTTGCTGGTCTGTGACCTGCCTGTCTACTATTGGCCCATGGGGATGTTTTGACATCTGTTTATCAGCCCTGTCCATGGGTCTGCTCATAGGCTTGTTTATCAACCAGTGGGATTCTGTATTTTATGTAGGCTTTCCTGGAGGGTCAAGGTCAAGATCTATCAACCAGTGAGACTTTGCCTTTTTAGTTTGCTTCATCTATGTCATCTGGGCATCGAGCGCTATAAAGCTAAGGCCCTGAAGAAGAGACCATCTCATATTGTGAGAAAGCTCTGAGGTCCACTTCATTAAGGGGATCATGGATCCTTTAATAAAGTGCTATTGGCTCAAAGCTCTGCCTCAGTTTCTTTTATTATAGGGTGGACAACTTTGGACCCCACAGAACAAGCATTTATTAAGTGCCTGCTGTACTATGCAAGGCACTTTACAAATACTATCTCATTTGGACCTCAAAACAACCCTGGGAGGTAGGTGCTTTTATTATCCCCATTTTGAAGGTAAGGAAACTGAGGCAGACAAAGTGACATGCCCAGGATCACACAGCTAGCAAATATCTAGGGGAAAAAAATCCACCTAATTTATGTCAAGGAACTACAATAATAAAGCCTATAGTCACAGCAAGGGTAGGGACCTTGAAAGACATTCTAAATATCTATTCTTTAGTTTCTTCATAGGCTTGTACCTAAGCCACTGTGAATGAATGGATAATCATCCCATTTCTAAAGACCCTAAAGGAATGATTTTCCTGTCAAGGATCTACTATGGTCTGATGGCCTATCACTAATTATTTCTCATCCAGGGCTCCCTATTACCTCCAGGATCAAATATGAAGTCCATTTAAATATGAAATATTTAAAGCTCTTTGTAAACTGGCCCCTTCCAGTTTTTCAAGTCTTGTTATGCTTTATACCCCTCCATGAACTCTACGATCCAGCTATCCCGACTAATTGTTCTTTGCATGTGGAGCCCCATCTCCCATCTCCCTTTCAAGGGCCATCCCTCATGCCTAGAATGTCCTCCCTCCTTACCTCTTAGATTCCCTGGCTTACTTTAGGACTCAACTAAACTCCAGCTTCTCCTGGAGACTTTTTCTTCTAGGGCCTTCTCCTCTAAGGTTACTTTCTATTTAATCTGTATGACTCTTGTATGCATCTCTATTTAATGTCTACACCATTAGAACATAAGGTCTTTAAGGGTAGGGATTGTTTATGCCTTTCTTTGCATGCCCAGCACTTAGCACAGTGCCCACCTAACACATAGTAAGGACTTAATAGATGCTTGTTGATTGATTGATCAAAATAAATTCTACTTATATCCCATCAATATTTCAATTTGTGTAAGTATTCTTCTCCCAACACCTATCTCTGAATCCAGCTAGCATAAAGCCAGCCCCATCCAAAGACAGTAATGAAACTGTTTACCAGAATAAGAGACTTTCATCTTTAGCATTTGATTTGAACAGAGAGACAAGCATTATGACACGCAGGAAAGAACACCAGATTGGCAGTGTGGAGATGGTTCAAGCCCCAGCTTGATAATTAACTTGCTGGGTGACCTTAGGTGAGTCATTTCACTTCTGTTCCTAGGACCTTGAGTCTTTAACATGAGGGGTTTGGTATAGGTGATCTTCACATCATGGTCACCACAGGGTCTGAAATTCTATGACTCTGCAAGGATGCCTGATACAGTTCACTCCCCAACAACCAAACAAATGGAGACAAGCCAAGAACTGAAGGATCAAAACATGTATAATCCTAAGTCTTTTTCTGTTGTTGGTATTGCTCAGAATTCATATTCCAAATAGTTTTTCCCCCTAGTTTACCTTCCTAATTATGTTTGACTCAGCCAACTGAAGAGAGGGAGACTGTTCGGGGTTAAGGGGTTCCCAGCCAAGAACATTCAAATGTTTCCCTTTCTAAAAGTGGCACAGTTTACAGATCCTATTCTTTGGAGTTCCCAGTTCTCTCAAAGATTCTCGAATGATGGTGAACAGATTTATAAGTTGCCTCCCTCTCTTGTCTCCCAGGAGGACAATAATTCTCATAAAATGTATGTAATTAAACATGTGGCAGGGATATTCTCCTGTGCAGGAAGTTCTGAAGGCTTCTAAGTTAGGGCCTTGCTTATTTTTGGAAAAAGTAGGGAAACCTGAAGCTGTGACTTCCAATCTGGCAACTCCTATTATTTCTGGCTTCGTAACAGGGCTTTGGATAACAGCATCAGAGCTGATCAATGTTCCTTCTTCATCTTTGCCCAGCAGGCTGCTGTATTCTGACCCACAGAGTGTTAGACAAATATTCAGAGCAAGGTCTCCCTACAATATGGCGTAGTTGCCAAAGGAGGGAAGCCAAATTTAAACACATACAACCTACACACAGACATACACAAGCTTTTAAAAACTTTACTTCCCACTCAAAGAATTCTCCCACAAGAAGTCCGATGCAATAGGAAAAACAATGGATTTGGAGTGAGTAGAATTGGACTCAAATTCTGGCTCTACCATTTATTACATGCATGACTTGAACAAATCACTTTCCTTCTCTGGGCCTCAGTTTTCTCAGTAGTAAATGAGGAGATGATACTAAATGATCTCTAAGGTCCCTACCATCTCTAAATCTGTGATCCTGTAATCCTTTGGTTGTACCTGCGTGACCTGAGGCAAGTCACTTCCCATTCCTGAGTCTTGACTTATCTTTTGTAAAATGAGGAGATTAACTAATCTCTAAACACCCTCCATAGATTTAAATCCTATGATCCTTAATATGATGGAAGTATAAATTGGATGTGGGGTTCATAGAATGTGTCTTCCATTAATCTCCATTCACACTTATACCTTAATACATATATAATAAATTCATTGGCCACTTCATTGTAGGCAAATTTAATCAAATATTTGACATTTTTAGAAAAAAAATTTTAAAAGAGCTCAAAATAGCAACATACATTTCATTAACAGTTATCTCCACTGACATGAATGGGGAAGGCATTCTTTTTTTAAGAGTTTATTCTTTCTGTTTTTCTGATAAGTATTTTTAAAAATTAATTTGTTCTTCCAAAAACACAAACAAAAAACAAATCTCTTAATACAGAGCTACGTGGTCTCACAAAACAAATTCCCACCTTCGTCATGTTCCAAAATATATGTCTTTTTCTGCATTTTAAGCTCATTAACTCCTGTCAGGAGGCAAGTCACATAGTTCTTCATTCTTTTGAACTCATGGCTTATCATTGATTTGATAAGAGTTCAAAAGTCTTTCAAAGTTGTTTTTATCTATGATGTTGTTATAACTGAAAAATTGTTCTAGTTCAGCTCACTTTGCTCTGTATCATTTCCAAAGACCTTCTCAGTTTCATCTGGAATTGTCCATTTCATCATTTCTTATAGATAAGAATGTAAATTCATACCACAGTTTGTATAGCCATTCTCCAGTAGAAGGATATCCTCTTTAGTTTCCAATTTTTTTGGCAACCACAAAAAGAGCTGCTATAAATATTTTTGTACATATAGATCCTTTTTCCTTTTTCTTTTTCTAGTTTGGGGTATAGGCCTAGTAATGGTATAGCAGGGTCAAAGGGAATAGACAGTTTGGAACCTTCTGGGTATAGTTCCAAATTGCTTTCAGAAGGACTAGACCGGTTTACCATGGTGCATCTGTTTTCCCATAGTCCTTCTAGCATTTGCCATTTTCTTCTTTGCCAGTTTGACAGATATGAGGTAGAACCTCAAAATTGCTTTAATTTGCATTTCTCTAATTAGAGATCTGGAGCATTTTCATATAATTACATACAACTTGTATTTCTTCCTTTGAAAATTGGGTGTTCATATTTTTTGATCATATGTCTATTGGGGAATGGCTCTTAGTTTTATATAATTTGAACAAATTCCTTGTATATCTTAAAAATGAGATCTTTATACAAGAAACTTACAAAGATTTCTTCCCAGCTGCTTCCTTTCTACTTTTTACTCCATTAGATTTGCTTCTGCAAAAACTTTAAAATTTTACATAATCAAAATTGTCCTTTTCACTTTGTATGATCCTTTTTATAACTTGTTTCATCATGAACTCTTCCCCATCCAAAAGGTAATTTCTTCCTCATTCCTCTAATTTGTTTATGTTCTGACCTTTTATATCTAAGTCATGTGTCCATTTTGAGCTTATTCTGATACATGGCATGAGAAATTAGTCTAAATCTAATTTCTGCCAGACTGCTGTCTAGTTTTCCCAGAAGTTTTTTGTTAAATAATGGATCTTTCCCCCAGTAACTGAGGTTTAACTGTGCTACTGTGTTTGTTTGCCTCCATAATTTGTTGCACTAATCGAGGTCTCTTTCTTCTTAACCAATACCAAATCACCTTAATGATTATTGCTCTGTTTTCCAGTTTAAGATCTGCTACTAACAGACAATTTCTGAGGTAGTATTCTTAAATGCTTAGATAAATAGGCAAAGGGTCATATCAATCAGTGATAGACAGGTTAGTCTCTCAACAAAATTGTAAATTAGGTAAAGTTTATTTTTCATGTCCCTTCATCTACCTTACATTATGTCCCTCATCCTCCACAATATTCAAGTCCCTTACCCTGACCTCTGGCTGCCTACCAACTATGGCACCAATGGAAGGCAGCTAGATGGCTTAATGGATAAAGGATAGACTTGGAGGTAGGAAAATCTGAATTCAAATCCTGTCCACTTATAAGCTGTGCAACCCTAGGCAAATCACCAAATTTCTCTTTGTCTCAGTTTCTTCATCTGTAAAATGGGCATAATAATAGCACTTACTTCTCAGATTTGTTGTGAGGATAAAATAAAATAACACATAAAGTGCCTTGCCAACCTTAAAACACTACATAAATGCTAGCTGCTGCTGCTGGTGGTGGTGATGTTATTCAGCCTTACTATGTCTTAGAATACACCATTCTCAGGGGCCATCACCAGTCATCTTGACTTATGTCTTGTCACTGTACTCTCTCTGGAGGAGAGAATGAGGCTGATGACTTGTGAAGCTCTGCCTCACTTAAAAGCAATCTTCTCTTCATGATGCATTGGTCCTCTTCTAGAAGGAAGGATGAACAACAATATTCTCTGGATGTTCCTTATACTGCCTTCCACCACTCCACCCAATTAGATTTGGTTAGCCTTTGTCCCAAACCCTCATTGCCCTACTTTGGTAGCTACTCTGACTAAAAGGTTCATGCTAAAAAATTTATGGGTGGATAATTGTTTAATGACAAACACCTTAGCAGAAAAGAGGATATTGGAGTCAAGAAGTCCTGGGCAAGTCACTTGATCTCAAAGTGCCCTCAGGAAACTCTTTAATACTACAAATTATCTACAAGTTGCCTATGTGTATGTGTAAGGGGAATTTCCACAGCAAGAGTTCCCTATACCAATGAAATCAAAGTCCAGACCCTCCCCTCTAAAAAAATAGTTTAATATTTTGCTCCCCCCAGAAAATATATTTTCATTTTCACAAAGCCTTGTTGTCTAAAGCACTGAAAAGTGTGAGAATTTCATCCCAAAGGAAAGCCAGTCAATGAAGTGGTCGCACGTGGACCATCCAAAGCCACTCAAATCATATGATGTAGGCAACTGCCTCTTTTACTGATGTATAAAGATGATCCATATAATTGAAATTTTAAAAGTAACTTAAAATGTGTTCTGGCTCCAGTCTCTTTCTGTATTTGTCAGAGAATAAGTTATACTGTCAAGTGATTTCCTGTCCCTTGGAGCAGACAATAATTTCTCTCTTTTTATTACTACAATTACCTTAAACACAGGTTGCATATTTGCAACTGTAGGAATCAATGTTAATTGTCCCTGTGATCTGACTAGAATTGTCAATGTATACTATCATTTTCAAATATATAAGAAAGTACTGGGCCCTTTCATCTTTTTCCCAACTATTTTTTTTGTTTGTTTGCAAACATTTCTCTTTCTCTTTTCCCACCATCTACCTACCTTTCATTCATGGTCCTTTCTTCCTACGTCCTTCATGGAAACTTGGCTTTTTTCCATCTTGTTTTTACATGGCTGGCCTATCCTCACAAGAACCCTACTTTTCCTTTTTAAGACATACATCATCTGTCTCTCACCTTTAAAAATGCTTCTAAGAGACTACATCTTATATTGAAATCTAATGATTGCTTGATTCTCTCACATAGTGATTAAGGACAACCTATTGTGTACCTTTAAAAAGTCTTGTAAGCTGATGCTATCTGCTTCCATAGCACGTTAATGTTACTTAAGAAAATTGCTAAATGTTAAATGACATTTTCTATTGAAGGATTATTTTAACCTCCTCTGCAATTGGCACAGGTTAAGATAACTGTTGTAAGTATAATGATGTTGAAAGAAATAGAGTGATTTGGTAAAGGAAGTTCATTCCAACAGCTGTGAAATGCAGAAGTTATTATCTAGAATTTTCACCCACTGTTGAGCTGAAACTATTTTCATCATGTTGATGCTTACTCCTGGGCAAGTTCAGGCTGCCCACAGACAAATATCTACTGTGATTCCAGCCTTGGTAATAGCTGGTTAGCTAAGAGCAAAGAACGAATGGGAAGGTTTACTTTCTAATTCATGCACTGACCAAGTCACCTGTTATTGCAGGATTCAGGTCCACTGCAGCCTATACAGGCAACCCCAGTGTCACTTGGGCCCACACAGGTAAGGCCTTTAGCTCACTTTCCAGTAGATGTTGACAATTAAACATGATGCCATGATGTCAGATTTTGGGTGACGCAGTCTGTTAGTGGAAAAAGGAGCTGGACTAGGAGTCAGAAAGGTCTAGGTTCAAGTTCTATCTCTGATACAGATTGACATTTTGATCCTGGCCTTGTCAGTTAACATCTCCATGTCCCAGGCAACTCTCTAAGACTACAAATTGCAAAGCAAGTACCAATTTGCATTGATACAGGGAGTTTCCTAACTAGGAGCTTCTTATACCAATGAAATCATAGGTTGGAACAAAAAAAAAATGGTGAGGTCAGTTCAATTGAATCCTGGGATGTAGATAGAAATTAACCTTCTATTACTTTCTCCTTAGAATATGTTATTTAATTTTTCTTTAAACTGAATCGAGTCAATTTGAGGACATTTGTGGGGAAGAAATGCAGGGCTCAAGCAGGCTACTTGGACTTCCAGACCACAGAAACCTCTTCTTCCTCCCTTGTGGGCTAATCCAACCCCAACCACGTGTTTCTATTCTGCATCCCCACCAAAAGCACAGAATCTTCCACTAACTTCTAGGGAAATGACAATAGAGGCATATTTGAGGGAGATAGGGAAGAGCAGAGGAATAAGAGAAGAAACCAGTTCATTAGTTAAGGTAAATTGGTTTTCTTCTTTACCCCTTTCAATTCACCCACGGATCCAATGGCAAAAATCAGTAACTTCCTTCCAGAACCCCATAGGAGCTGTCGCCAATCTAGGTAATTGGTATTATTCCATACTGAATCATATTATTACCATCTAAGGTTTCCTAAGGGTTTTTAAAAACCAAATTCCTACTTCAGGACTGTTCTACTGCACCCAACTGTGTCTCCTTCCTACACATTGAGGGATGGCCCCTTGTGGTGCAATCTTGTGTAACTAAGTTCGTTACTGAGTCTTTGGTTGTATGAAATTATTTTAACCTTTAGAAAATGTCTCTTTGCTTTGTTCTGTCTCAGTGTGACAGAGAAAGGAAAATCTCTTGTCAGCTCAGAAGCTTAAGTGAGTTGATTGAATTTATATTAGCTTGGGTGGATCTTCACCCCTGACAACCTTTGCTCTCATCACCTGCCCAGGCTTGCCTTTAGAACTAAGTGGGGAATGGAGTCCTTTCCATAGAACACAAGCATCAATGTCTAATCAGTTTCATACATGGGCCCATTGACTACACCCCGGGGAAAAATCAAAAGTGTAATTAGCCAAAAAACAGAGAGCTAAGCCCCCCTGCCCTTCAGATTCTGTCTTTGCAGTGAGCAAACCTGAATTTGAGGACTGGGCCCATCCTCTCATTTTCCAATCTGCCTCATGCTGAGTCTGTCCTTTATTCCCCAAGTCTCATGGCTCCATCTGTCACCAGCTCTGCCTGGTTATCCCTTTAACTCCCCCATGACTATGTCTTATTGTTTAGCTCTCAGTTCATTTCTCCCCAAATCCTACCTCCCTCTGCTTTCCTTACCACTGCAACTTGATTCTATTTTTAGTCTCCTTCTCTCTCTCTCTCTCTCTCTCTCTCTCTCTCTCTCTCTCTCTCTCTCTCTCTCTCTCTCTCTCTCTCTCTCTCTCTCTCTCTCTCTCTCTCTCTCTCTCTCTCTCTCTCTCTCTCTCTCTCTCTCTCTCTCTCTCTCTCTCTCTCTTGCCCCCAGAATATATTAGCCCATGTCTCTATTGACTCCAAGTCACAGAATCTCAGAGTTTGAAGTGACTCAGAGGTCAACTAATCTAAACCACACCTGAATAAGTATCTCTTCTACAAAATTCCCAACAAGTAGTCACTCTGAAGATCTCTAAGGAAGAGAAAGTCATCACCTCTGAAGACAGTCCATTACATTCTTGTATAACTCTAATTGTTAGGAAATTTTTCCTTACCTAATAAAAACTATCTCTCTGCAATTAGTTCTGCCCTCTAGAGTCAAACAAGTCCAATTGTTCTTCCAGGAGGCCACCCTTCAGATACTTGAAGAAAAGTGTCATATCCCCCTCAAATTCCCTTCAATCAATCCCTATAAGACATGGTCTCTGATACTTTCACCTTCATGATCACAACCAAGACTGATACTTGGCTGGCCTTTTTGAGGTATGAAATTCTCCAGTTGTCTTTTGTGGAATTGAAAGGCAGCTGGCCATTGGCTGGCCACAGGAAGAGTTATATCCCCGGTGACCTTTAAAAAGTAAGTTTGCTAGCTCTAGAGGTAATCAAGGTAAGAGAGCTCTGAGAAATGTGACTATTAGAAGCAACAGAGAAATGATTCAACTGCGGAGGAAGAGCTCATCTCTTGAGAGGGAATCACTCTTTGCTGTTTCTTTTCTCCTTTATCAAAGAGCAACAGAGGAGGACAACATGGCATCTCAAAGCAGAGCTACTTGAACAGTAGGAAACAACCTTATTGGAGCAGGCCCTGTCAATCAAGGTAGTTCTTAAGCATCATAGATCCCTGGCAGCAGAGAAGAAAACTAACTAGCAATTAAGAGAAAATTAGCCCTGGAAGTCAGTAGTCAAGCTAAAGAGACGAACATTCCCATGGAACCCAGCTAAGTGACTTGGCTTGTAGAGCTGTTGTACCTAAGGGAAAGAGAGAGAGAGAGAGAGAGAGAGAAAGAGAGAGAGAGAGAGAGAGAGAGAGGATATTAGGTCCTTGAAGTGCCATAGGCATGAGTTACTTTAGACACATACGTTTCCTGTGTATGTGTCCCACTATCAGTGTATTCATGTAAATGCTCACTCTTCTCATTGGCACACTGTATTTGTGGGAAAGTGTGCCCTATTTTTATCAAGGGAGCTCTTTGTTACTACTGTTCTTAGGATGCCTTCTCAGTAAACGTCTTTACATTAAGCTTATGGTATCTAGTGGCTGATTATTAAAGGTAACACCACTGGTAGGGACTCTTAGGAGCTATATTTTTGGAGTATGAAACTACAAAGTATCTTGAACCTGAGAGTTATTGCCCCTTATCACCCCTCTACCCTCAATCTACTCTACAATCTGTGAGTATAAGTTTGAGGTAATCTTGGTGTGGGGAGGGGTGGGGTTTACACGTATGAAGAAACAACCATCACACCTTCTATAAATTCAGATATGGATGTTCCCATCTTACCAATAGGTAGTCCCTAATTCACAAACACCCAATTTACAAAAGCTTTGCATGTATAAATAGCTTCCAACCTTGAGTCTGAACTCAAGCCCCACCCTTCTCTCCCTAACCCGCCCTGACCCCAGTTGATGTGGGGCTCATGGTCAAACAGCACTATCAGACTGAGCACTGGTGAACTGCCAGTATAGCATGGCCACATTTAGTACTGGGTAATGGAAACGACAGCCATATGGGGAGCACAAGGCCTGTGAAATGGGACTCTAGCTGAGGCAGACCTTTAAGGCTGCCATCTTGACCCAGCTATACCCTCACTATTGACATCTATGTCCAAGTACTACAGGCAGATGGTGGCAATTATTCAGCCTGTGTGAATGCAGCTATATTAGCCATGTTGGATGCAGGGATCCCAATGAGAGATTTTGTGCATGCCTATTCAGCTGGCTTCATGGACGGCACAGCCCTGGCTGACCCGAGCCATGTGGAGGAGGCAGCTGGTGGGCCACAGCTGACTCTGACCTTGCTCCTCACCTCTGTCCAGTTTGCTCTGCTAGAGATGGATTCCTGTCTGCGTGAGGATCACCTGCAGCAGGTACTAGAAGCCACTTCCTCGACTGCCTGGGCTATTTATGCCTTATTTGACCAACTGGTTGGGCAGCATGTCCATGAGGCTGCCCTGCTTCTTGGAGACTGACCCTGACCCTGCAATAAAACACTTCAGCCCTTCCCTATACGGCCGATGCCTCCATTGCCTTCACTCTGCATTTCTGTCATCACCAGATCCTTTTCTCCACAGGGGCATCAGCCCTTCCTCTCTTCAGGGATGGTTGTTTGAGGCTCAGCAGAATAGATGGGCTCCATACATGAGAAGACCCATACACATACATGGGGTGGCAGCACTTATTGGAGCAATGTTTGAGATATATGCATGGCCTTTCAATTTAATAAGTATAGGAAGGTTTATAGGGGTCTATGCTACTTATGAGGGGTTACCCCTCAGCCTGCCACTTGACTTGCTGCTGTATTTAATTTGACCACATCCAGTGCTAAAACAATTCGAAGGCATGATTGAATGGTGTCTTACTAATTAATAAAACAGATGTCTCATTAATTAGCTCTAGCTCCTACCTCAGTTCACTGGATGTTAATTATTTAATGAAGTGGAGAAACCTCCTTTCCCAATGGCAATTGCTCAGTTTTTTATATATTGAATAAATATTAGAATTACTGAATAAACAAGTTTTTAATTAACAAAAACAACAACAAATAAAGACATATACAAATAATTTTCACTCTCCATACAGTTCTCTGTTACCCATAACCTCAGAGACACCATCACTTAGGGTTTTATTGCCACTACATGATGAAAGGAAAATTCACATCCCCAAAGGGTTCCTTTAAGGCATAATGACAGGTTTGATTATCATGCCTCAGTTGTCTGTTAATAGGTGCTACTTCTCATAAGACAGCCTGTCTTCACTGTGACATCCCAAGCTTCCTATACTTCTGGCTATTTCTAGGTTCCCAAAGTCTGAGTTTCCACACTGATTCTTTTTTTTTAAATAATATTTTATTTTTTTCCTAATTGCACATAAAGACATCTTTAACATTCTTTTTTTTTAAAATTTTGAGTTCCAAACATTCTCTCTGCCCCCCTTCTCCCCCCCTTCCTGAAACAGTAAGTAATTTGATATAAATTCTACATGTCTACACTTATTCTTCCAACATCTGTTCCACTTGGTTTAGGGCTCTCTTTCTCATAATTTCATTCTCTTTTAACCTGACTCATGTTTTGAGTTCTGTTCCTGCTTATTTCTCTGACTTTGGCATTTCTCAGCTCTCATATGCCCAACCAGATCTCCTGGCAGGATTAACCATTCCACTAAACTTCTTTACCACGTCAGCCCTCAAACCATAGCTGCAAAATATTAATCCATCATCTCCTACAGGGCAAAGGGGGCTTGACATCTCATGGTATTTTTTACAAATAAAAGGAAATAAAGCATTCTATATCCAACCTAAATGGAGCCATTTCTCAATGACAGTCATCTTTCAAACCATCATCCCATCCTAAATTCCTCATTCATGAGGAAATACCGAGTGAGGAAGCCAAGTAGAAAAAGCCAGTTTGGAAAATAGCGTATCACTGGAATTTATTTTAGACCTGGACAAAAAATTGTGAAAACTACAAATAGGTAACCATTCTTTGCAATGTGACAGATTTTCTTTGGCTTGTCTGAAGACTTAGGCACATCCATTCTAAATTACAGAGGGTCATAGAATCATAAATCTAGAAGGGATGTCAGAGGTCAGCTACTCCAACCCATATTACAGATGAAGAAAACTGATGCCTGGAGAGTATGAGTGACTCACCCTAGGCCACACAGGTACTAAGTAGGAGAGGTGGGATTTGAACCCAGGTTCTCTGACTCTAGAACCAGTTCTTTTTCTACTCTACCAAATAGCCTTCTAGGCAGGGCTCTTTAATGGCCTAACTCATTACTCTTCAACAAACGTCAGAAAGCCACTGGCTTGTCCATCACCACAGGGTTAGCTGTGAACTTCCACAGAGTTCCAGCACCACAATTAGAGTGTAAATTCCTTGACAGCAAGGACATTCTTTTTGCTTGTATTTATATCCCCAGGGCTTAGCACAGTGCTGTCATTTTGTTGTTGTTTAGTTGTTTTCAGTCATATCCAACTCTACATGACCCTTTTTGGAATTGTCTTGGGAAGGATACTGAAGTGGTTTGTAATTTCCTTCTCTAGCTTATTTTATAGATGAGGAAACTGAGACAAACAGGCTTAAATAATTTGCCCAGGGTCACACAAGTAGTAAGTGTCTGGAGCCAGATTTGAACTCATGAAGATGAGTCTTTCTGGTTCCAATCCCAGTACTTTATCCACTGTGCCATCTAGCTGCCCATTTGGCATTTAATGAGTGTTTAATGAATGCTTATTGCTTCTCTGTCTGCCCCTTGGTATTTTTAGTCATTCTTTCTGTGGGATGACTGGAAGAGATCCTAAGAAATCTTGTTCCTTATTGACATTAGCATACAAGTGATCCCCCAAACTCAAATCTCCTTTATACCAAGTGCATGAAATTTGAGGTTTTAGTTCCCCAAATACTTGCCAGAGTTCATCTTCTGGAGGTAATTAATTTGTTTTCAAATTATTCTAGGCAGGACAGAAGCAACACTAACTGAAAAAAGGAAGAGTTTTAAATAAAGGATCCTAGAAAATGGGAGCCCCAGAACTGGCAGACCTTGGCTGAATTCAAAATGGCATGTCCTCTAAAATCCCCCAGACTATCTCCCAGACTCCCAGACTCCCAGATACTGCAAAACTCTTGGGTCAACTGGAAAATTTCATCAATTTTGTCACGATGAAAGATGAAACAATATTTCTTACCAGTAGGTGGCATTAGAGTAATAAAGCAAAAAGAGTGGAATTTAAACGAAGAAACAAAGAATTTATACAAATCTATAAATTGTCTTTTCTCCCCCTTCAGTAGTTTGAGGTCACTAACACATTAAGAAGAACAGTATGCAAAACACCATTTCTTTGTGTTTTCATAATTCCAGTAGTCAGCAAGTTGCAGATTGGATAATAGTTAACAAATAGTTAACAAATGAAAACTACTTTTTAAGAGTAAGCAGAGTCCACACTGAACAAACAGTAACTATTTCCAGGTGCTAATTATAAAGTGAACATGCTTCTTTCCTTGCCCCATTGGAAAGGGCAATTTATATCATTCTGTGGTGTGAGACCTGAGCCCCATTGTAGCTGTATAATCTTGCCAAGGAGAGAGTTTACATTTCTGAACTTTAATTCAGACCACAACTAAGATTGTTAGGTAGCATAGCAAAGAGAGCAGTGGACTTGAAGTCATGAAGACCAGAGTTCTATCCAACCTCAGACATTTACTAGCTGTGTGATCTTGGGCAAGTCACTTAACTTCTGTTTGACTCAGTTTCCTCATCTGTAAAGTAGGGATAATAACAATACCTTTTTACAGGGTTATTGTAAGAATAAACTGAGATAAAATTTGCAAAGCATATAGTGCCTGGTACATAGTAGACCCTATATAAATGGTTATTCCTCACTCTCTCCCTCATCCACCCATGCCTAAGTAGGTACTCTTCATGACATGTAGTGACTGGAAAAAAAATTCACAAGATCACAAAAATGGAAGAGACCTCCTCTGACCCATATAGGGAGAGTATGGTGGAAACCCACATTACAACAAACCTCTGCTTAATGCTTTCAGTAAGAAGGAAGCCATTACTTCCTAAGTTAGCTAATTCTACTTCAAGTTTAGTATCAGAAAACACTCGCTAACAATTAGAGATGTCCAAAAGAAGACAAAAGTGGGCCTGGAGAGATAGTGATTGGGTTCCTTCCTCTTAAAGATCTTCAAATAGAGGCCGAATGAGCATACTTCAGGACATTATAGTAAGAATTCCCTTCATATATGGGTTGGACTAGATACTCAATGGCAGCTGAGGCCCTTCCTAATCTCAAATCTTAATGGTGGGATTTTGTAGATAGCTCTAATTGTTAGGAAGAGTTTTCTTATGAAACACCATGCTTCATTTCAAGGACATATACCCCTGATTAGTGTATTAAGAACAACTAAGGATGGGCTGTTGGGACCAACCCTAGTTTATTTTCTACCTAGAAAAAAAATTAGGATAGGTAGATAGAGGATCAGGGAAGTGAAGGGTGGGGCAAGAATATTGACTGTGGGCCAAGCCTCTATATCTGGTGGATCAGTCAGGCCCTAGATCCCTGTGGTCAGCTCTAGGAGGCAGGGCAGGGCTCAAGGCAGGTAGTAGGAGAACTTAATCTGGGTGTGCCACCAGACCTGTGTGGCTCTAGTCTCAAACTGCCCCAGGTCACTCACCAAAGGTGGGAGAAGAAACAACAGTGGTTCCAGTGGATGATCAATCCAGCTAATGAAACCACTGAAGAACACTTAAAGCCTGAGCTGGACTAACTCACTCCTGGCTCCTGCACGTGATACTAGTACTTTTGCCAGTCCTGTCCTCTGACACCAAAGAGAAGTCTAAAGCCTCCTATACACAACAGCCTTAAAGACGGCTGCCTAGCTCTACCTGAATACTCATCATCCCGTGGCCCTCTTTGGGCTATGAGTCTTTTGAACTCTTCAGGTTGCTCCTCAGGCAGACATCCATGAGGGGACAGCATGGCCCAAGTTTGAATCCTAGCTCTGCTGTTTATTTGCATGACCTATGACAAGTCATCTAACTTTGGGGGCCTTCAGTTTCCCTTTTTATAAAATGAAAAGGTTTTTCAATTTTGAGCTGAAAGTGACATTGAAGGTCATTAAATACAATACTTTCATTTCACATATGAGGAAAATGAGGCCCAGAAAGGTCAAATGCCTTTTCCGGGGTCACAGCTACTAAATGGGCAAAACAGGATTTGAACTCAGGTCTTTTTCACTCCAAATCCAGCATTCTACCCAGTGCACCATTTTGTCTTGCACAATTAAGGCCTTACGTTCTTATGACACAATGTAATGAGGCACTAGAGAAGGACTTCAGAGGATTATGTAATGAGAATCCATCCCACGGTATTAATAGCTAACATTTTTATAGCACTTACTACGAGCCAGGCACTGAGCTAAGCACTTTACATTTATTATCTCATTTGATCCTCATAACATTTCTTGTTTGTTGCTTTCATTTTTGGTCATGTCCTACTCTTCATGAGGTTTTCCAGTCATTTTCAGTCATATCTGACTCTTTTGGAGGTTTTCTTCGCAAAGATACTGGAGTGGTTTGCCATTTCCTTCTCCAGCTTATTTTACAGAAGAGGAAACTGAGGCAAACAGGGTTAAGGGACTTGCCCAGAGTTACACAGCTAGTAAGTGTCTGAGGCCACATTTGAACTCAGGTCTTAGTGACTGGTACTGTATCCATTGCACCATCTAGATGACCAAGTGTTCTCTGTGAAGTACTGGCCAGAACATATTTTGTTGAGTATAGAATGTTGGGCTGTGTTTGCCTAGGATTCTATAAGCCTCCCAATGAGAATGACCTCAAAGAGGAACATACTAACTCTTACGAGAAAGAAAATGAGCAGACAGAACAAAACGGTCTTTTCCCCCTGCCCTTCTGAGCTCAAAAACAGAATAGAGCTGAATAAAGGAAGTTCTGAAGGTCTCAGGCTGCCTCATCCAAAAATTTTTAGCTAAGCTTCTTTGTTAGAATGTCACAATTCAATAGCCCCTGACCTGCGTAGCTGACTCCACACATTCTACCAGTTCTGCTTTTAAGTAATGATTTTCCTTCTTTATATGTTATAAAGCTGGAGAGACAGGCTCGTGGAAACCTGGAATGGTCCTTTTGGATGCAGGTAAGTGGAGCCCTGGGTAAGACTCTAAAGAACCCAGTAGTGGGTACCATGAAAAGAGTACTTGCCCTAGAGTTCAAGCTCTAGCTTGAACACATTCTGCCTCTGCCACTTAACTACCTATATGACCTTGAACAAGTCACTTAATTTCTCTGGGCCTTGGTTTCCTCACCTGTAAAACATGGAGAGGTGACTAAATGGCCTGAGGTCCCCTCCAGACCTAAATCTATGGTCCTATAGCCAATCTAGAAACTACAGGTGTCACATTTGTGTTATGGAAGAGGTCTCACTCACCTCACTGACTGGACAGAGCAGAGCAATTCAGAAATTCAGTCAAGAGAAGCTTTGGCAAAGGACTCAGTCACTTTTCTCAGGCAATCTCAAAAATAGGCAAAATAGTCTCTAAAAATTCTCGTTGGGGACCAGAGGGAGGAGAGGGAGACTGATGAGCGATAAGGAGAAAAGAAGAGCTGGGTTACATAGCCCTCCTTCAGCATGGCTTTAGGGTTCCATTCCATGTGATAATGAACTGGACCTCAACTTCCTTCCTCCCAAGAGCAGGGTTCCAGTCTTTTCTTCCCAGGAGAATATGAACAATTTGAGGGGAGAAACTTTCTTTCTCATTTTTTCTTTGAATTCCCAGCAAACAATAGGCACTTATTGGCACTTTTTAAATTAAATTGTATTCCATCTCATGGCCAACTCCAATTAAGTATGCAATGTTAAGTCTTAGAAGTCCCAGCTGCAATGAGTTCTGTTGTTCCTCCAGCATCAGTGGGAGTCAGGGATGGGTGAGTAGGTCAGTGTATGTTTAGAGGAGCTTAGAGCAGAACATGTTTCTATATCCACCCAGGTACCCAAACTTTCATCACCTGACCCCTCAATCCACTCTGTTGTCTAATGTCATTAATGAGAGCCTTAGTGAATGGGACCCTGGCTGGAAAAATACTTAAAAATTCTCAAAGACAGTTTTTAAATGGAAAAAAAAGCAGGGGGGGGGAGGGAAGGAAGCAGGGCTAGCGAGCCTATCTTAAATGAAAAATGAGTCATGTGTTTTTTTTGCAAACTGGAAAAAACATGACCAGAGATCTCCAAGAGAACACTGAAGTGTTTCTGAAAGCCCTTAGTGAATGAGCTTGCACTGACTTTGGCTTTCTTTGCTGTTCCCCTTGAAGTCTCTTGAGGTTTTGGTGGGAATCCTAAGAGATCAATGAAGCTCCAGTTGATGAGCTCCTTTCTGAATTGGATCAAACAGTAAGCCATCGTGTTCAGTGCCTCCCCCTAATGTCCACAAAGGATGAGTTCTTCCCAGCTGGAGCTCCATTTTAGCATAATGGCTTCCTGGGGGCAAGAAAGAGCTATACTATGGGAGGAAGGAACTGACTGAGCTGCCAAGAGCCACGGAGAGGAGCACAAATGTATTATTATTGTCCTGCTTCCACGGGGGAGGTCAGATGCTTCTTTTGCATGTAAGTAACCCAAAGTCTTACTGATGTTTCCAGGATCAAGGCCAAATGAAGAATTTAAGACAAGACCTTCGGAGCCAGCATCCAAGGGAGATCCAAGTAAGTTAAATGTTAGATAATAGAGCCATAACTAGCAATTTGTGTGCTAGGGACAGTAGTATAAGACATGCCTGGGGTAAACAGCACCAAACAGGCTTTAGAGGCTGCTAGGAAGTAAGGGAAAAGACTGTCCAGGAAAGAACTCAACTGGAGTGCAGTCATATGTGAACTTCTTATTCTTGCAAACTAGATGCCAAGCTCGGTTGTTTGAACTTGTTAAAGTAATTTCAAGAGTTCTAATCCCTCTTTACTGTTTGACACCTTGGATAAGAGCCCCAGCCACCTTGTCATAGTTACAGCTCTGGCAACTAGCATCTCATGATGATTTTTTTTGACACTTGGTGTATTCTCCTATGTATACATCTACCGACCCATTCGCTTCCTCCCAACCCTACTCTCTGCTACCTACATAGCAATGGACACACCATTATCTCACTCACCAAATCATTTATTCTCTCACCTCTTTATCTTCTTGCATTTCAAAACATGCACATCTTATGTTCCTATAGGAATATGACAAGCAGTGATCAAAATCTTCCTCTCTTTGTATTTATTAGAGTTCTTCTTGATTAGCCTAGGTCAACTCGAATTATTAGCACTATTTTTACCCTCAAAAGAATCTACCTGAGGGAAAAATAATGAATATATTTATCACTTCTTCAAAAGACCCATGATCTAATCAATGTGTGAATTCCCTCCCCTAACAGAGACTGCAACCTCTCCATAGCTTCATGAACTACTGTGGCCAGCTTCCACATGATGAATTTCTCTGTATCCTCCCTCCCCCATAAAGTACCACAAACTGTGCCCAGGAAAATGGCAGGAAGAAGGCTCTCAGATGAAGAGTGGGGAGTGGGTCAGTGTGATGCAAAAAAGGAACAGGGAAAGCTCATTCCAGCCCATCATATGATAACTTTCTATTTTAACTAATTATTCTTGCTTGCTAGGTAATTAGATCAGTTGTTTCTATACTTCTGAAGCATTGTGAATATTGTCAGTATCCTCTCAATTTGGTGCCCTGGTCAAAGTCCCAATCACTCCTCCCCAGTTATGACTTGGCTGTCTGCGTTTAGCTCATGTGGTCTTTGCTAAGATTCCCATACCCCCACTTGAAGATGTTCCAAGTTAATAAGACCTCTTTTAGTGGAAGAAACTGTATTATTGGTTATAAACTATCAAAAAAAAGTTTGACAGTGCTACTAATCTCTAGACCAGAGAGAATGTTGTAGACACAGTGTACTTCTACTTCTGCAAAATATTTAACAAAATCTTTCGTGATATCCTTTTAGATAGATGTAGAGGTATGTCTTGAGTGATAGCCTGGTTAGGTCAATTTGGAAGTTGCTGAATGGCTGAACCCCCAAATTTGTATTTAATAATTTGCTATGAACTTGGAGAAAGGACCCTAGTTGAATACCCATGGATTTGCCCTCACCCCTGGCACTATTCACCATTTTTATCTGTTCTTGGCTAAAGGTCCAGATAGTATGCTCATCAAATTTTGAGATGCTCTGAAGCTGGGAGGGATAGCTAGTACATTGATGATATTCAAGATGGAAAAAAAAATCTGAGTAAGTTAGAATGTTGAGCAAAATCTAATAAAATGCAATTTTATAGGGAAAAGTAGGGAATCCTATGTTGGGGTTCAAAAAAAATTGACTGTGTTAAATACAGAATGAGGGATGATGAGACAGTAGTCCCTATGAAAAGAGCCTTATTAGACTTTAGATTTCATTCAAGTCAAGAGAGTGTCATGGCAGCCAAAAAGGCTAATTCAATCTTAGGCTGCATTAAAAGAGGCATGATGTCCTGAACAATGGAGGTGATAGTTCCATAATATGCTGCTCTGATCATACCAAAGAATTGTGTTCAATTCTAGGCACCCCATTTTAGTAAGGATTTCGCAACATAGAGCATATCCAGGGAAAGATGATCAGAATGCTGATGGAAATGGAGTCCATGCCAGCTTGAAAGAACTTGGTATATTTAGCATTGAGAAGATTTGGAGGTGATCCACTAGCAATCTTCAAGTATGTAAAGGAGAAGAAAGACTGGAATTTTTCTGCTTTGCCCTCGAAGGTACAGGAAAGAGCAGAACGTGAAAATTTCAGAGAAATAGATTTTGGCTAAACATAAAGAAAAATTTCCTGACAGGTAGAATTGAGTTGCCTAAAGAGATAACAGATTCTCTTTATGAAAACTCTTCACATGGAGGCTAGAGGACCACTGGTCAGTGATTTGGGAGGAAGAATTCTTGGTCATTTACAAGTTGAACTAGAGGGTATCTGAAGTGCCTTCCAATGCTGAGATTCTGTGATAGAAAACCAGAGGTTTTTGTCACTTCAAATATATTACTGTTTTTTTTCTTACAGCTGTGTATATCTGTTTAAACATTTCCATCCTAATAGTTTTTGCCCTGAAGGCCCAGGCATAAAAATGCATGTGGCAAAAAGATCTTGGCAGACAAGAATTTTGGGTCAAATTTAATAAGGTGAAATTAAATGCCAAGACTTATGTAACATAGGTGTGGGGTGGCTGATATAGACACCCTCAGTGTAATCCTTCACACAGGGCGTTGGCCACTGACTCACTTTCTAGTCTGGTTTGCTTACTCCAACTTGCCTTCACAAGGACAGGTCTGGATTTCCAGATAAAGACTACCACCATGTGGCTACACTTAAACTCTTTCAGGATCCAAGAGGTACCCTTCTTGTGGAGAAATATACTCTCTGTATTCACTAAGGCTCTTGAACTCTCTCCAGTGTGATTCCCATTTACATAAAACCAGCAACTCACAATGATGACACCATTAGATTTTAAACAACCATTTACTTAACAATAAGACAAAAGTAACCATAACCAGCATATCACAGGTACTTGATATAAGCAAATACTGCAATCACAGTTCATATATAAACCTGGGTTACGCTCTCCCACCAACATACTTAGTATCTTTTCAGGAAAGGGCACACATAGAAAACTTTCAGGGAAGCTCAAGAGTGAGCCCATGTACTCAAAAAGGGCTTTACAAACTCTTGCCCTTTGCATGGTGATTTAAACCTTTTTGTTTATGTAAGAAGTAGGGAATTCCTCATCAGTGGAGGTCTTCTTGGAGAAGCTGAATGGCCATTTGTTTAGGGTGTGGTGGAAAGGTAGGGATCAGACTAGAAGGCTTCTGATCTTTCCGGTTCTGAAGTCAGGGAAATTTGCTACCCTGGTTATTTAACAGCAAGAAGCACTGATTCACACAAGATGATATAATTGTATGCTTGTATGATGACCTTTGAACTTCTGGCTCCTCCAAAGAGTCAGCCGCCAATAGGCCACATGTGGCTAGTGGCAAACAATCCTTCATTGCCCTATGATACTGACACCAAAACACTGAAGTCAGAAACAAAGTTGATGCATAAAATCAATAAGGTAATATCACCTCAGATTGGAGGGAATTTCCCTCTTCTTCCCTTCAGTTCCTTCCCAAATGTTGTTGTTCAGTCACGTCCACCTTTTTGTGACCCCGTGGGAACATAGCATACCAATGCTATCCCTGGGGTTTTTTTGGCAAAGATATTGGAATGGTTTGCCATTTGCTTCTCCAGTGAATTAAGGCAAACAGAGGTTAAGTGCCTTGCTCAGGGTCACACAGCCAGGTGTCTGAGGTCACATGTGAACTCAGGTCTTCCTAATTCTAGGCCCAGCACTCTATCCAATGAGCCACCTAGATGCCTCTTCCTTCCCAAATACCTTCTTTTCTCTGTGACTATGATCAATTATTATGATTCAGTTATCATGAACATATTATGAACAAATTCAATCCTTTATTCAGCATCCTTCCAATTCTATTTTATCATATTTTCATTTCATGTTAAGAGATTAAAAAAAAAAAAGGTTGCAGGCTCTGGGCATCTATGCCCATCAGTAAATTCCAGGAACCTACTTACACAAATGGCATATTAATGTCAACCATCTAGGAAATGAGTGAAAAATGAACCGTGCTATCTAAAAAACATGAATATATAGAACAACTCAGTCGGCAAGGAAAGTTCCGGATAGTGAAAGATTCACTGCATATAGTTAATACGCTAAATTTTACCACAAATAATAGTAGCAGAAAAGTTTATTATATCTAGACCTGTGAGGAAATGGTGAGTCTGTACGTCCCAAAACTATGTTTTCTTTTTGCCTATGTTAAAGTAATGCTTAAAAGGTTTTCTAAGACACACATAAGACTAGAGCAAAATCTCTTTACAATTGCAGGGCTATCAAGACTGTAACTAGGCCAAGGGAGGGGAAAGCCTGCCAGTGATCTTTATCAGGGGCCAGGAGGTTATTGTGTGTTGATTGACTGTTCTTTGTAAAGGCAGAGGGGAACACAGAGTAGCTAATTAGCAATAAGAAAGAACTAAAGTGTTCTGACCTAAAAGCTGGCTTGCTTGGGTAATTTCATCCTAATTAGAAGCTAAATCTTGGGAGTAGGCATAACAACCAATGGTGAGGGGTGGGGTACAGGAGAGGTGGGAGGCTGAGTTTTTTTTCTCTTATTTGGCATATGGACAGAAACAACTAAGAAGATAAGGAGGAGAAAGTATTTTCTAAAAGACAAAAATAGGTCAACAGAAATAAACTTATCAGAAGGAACAGTAGTAGAGTTTGGTAAGACCAGCAGGTTTTCCCTTCAAAAGTACTAGGGAGATAGACAGTTCTCACTTGACCTAAGTGTACTATTCTGCAGACCTCTTCCTAAAGTGATTTTTATGTAATGCAAATTTGCCTCTACCCCATCCCTTCACTTAGCCTATGTAACAAAGGCATATACAAAATAATACCTTTGCACAAGTCATAAAATTTCCTAAAATGCAGATATATTAAATATTGTACCATAATAATAAACAGATTTGTGAAGTGAAAAGTAAAATTAATGATTAAGTATACACAATACTGTACAGTAAAGTTAACATAGGTATAAAGATTTTTTTCAGAATTCTTTTCATAAAGTCAAATATGCATAATGTGAATTTACATAAAGCAAGAACTGTCTGTAATTTCAATGGACGAATAAGAGACGATGTACAGGGCCTCTTTGTCTGAAACTTGCCAAAGCTGCAAGCAGCAACCTCCCCCCCCAAAAAAAAGAGTCTATTCTACATTCAGGGTAATCTATGGATCTGTATCCCCTAAAACTATAACTCAGCAGCTTCTATTGATCTGTTAACTTTTAATAGTCAGAAAAGAAAATTAGTTCAAAGCAAAGGCATTTAATGAAATGGTATAGGAAGACATAGCAGTAAAGCATTTCCTCCATAAATATGGTGCATATTCTCACACACCATCAGTGGGAAGGGCGGATACAGCTTTGGAATATACACAGACACATGTACAAAGGATACACATGACCAGCTTTGAGAGGCTCATGCCTTTGAGGTTTTGGGGCCATTGATGTCTTTTAGTGATGTCATATGGTAAAGATTTAAGGAAACAAGAAGCCAAATTTAGGGAAGTCCCCAAAGAAGAAATCAACTCTGGGTGAATAGGTGCTAGAGTCCTTCCATTCAGTTATTTGACTCTTGTCTTGTCTTGGATTGTGAAGAACCTGGAGGAACTTGTCTTTTCATTTCACTCTATCCTTTGCCAAGAAATATTATTCATCAGCTTTGTTGGTAATTCTTGTGCACTTTTGACTCTACCTCCTCACTTCCTCCCTACTTCCCCTCCCCCTCAAAATATCCCAAACTCAGTTCTATCTCATAGGTTCATACATTTAGAGCTGAAATGAATCCCGAAGACCATCTGGCCTAAATCTCTTATTTTACAAATGAGGAAATGGAAACCCCCAGAGGTTAAGCGGCTTGCCCAAGTCTCACAGATAAGAAGTCCCAGAGAAAGGAATAGAACCCAGCTTTTTTGACTGCAAATCTAGAGCTCCTTTTGTTGAGATTTAGAGGTTTAGGGGTGCTGGGACCCCAAAATCACGACACATGGGTCCAACCCAAATGAGTTCAACCTCAGGCTTCCTTCAGCCAAAAACAAGGTTTATTAAAGATCCACCACATTGGCCAGACTCTTAAAGAATCTGAACATTTGTGAACTATTGGCTAGATTATAAAAATCTGAGCACCTTAATGGAGCAAGATGGACCTTATATACAGAAGGACTGTAGGAGGGATCTAGGGAGGATCTTGATGGAGGTGGCCAGTACCGGAGGAGGGGTCTAGGAAGGATCTTGATGGGAATGACTTGGAGGTCAAGAATGGGGTCTAGGGTGAGGGTGGTATGGTTGACACCCTATGGTCCAGGGTGAGAAGTAGCCTGGGGCCATTGGGAGGTAATAGACAATGGAGGACTGGGCTCAATTAAGGGTAACAAAAAATGGGAGATCTAGGTAGGTGATAAGGAAAGGCCAGTTGATAGGATCGTAGCCTCAGGCCAATGCTAGAAAATTGGCCCCATGGGAAAGTCCAGGGCCTCTCCCCCTCTGGGTCCAAATCCCAAAGACTTGGTCCCTTCCCTTTAGGGGTTCAGATCCCATCCTCATCACTTTCACTACATAATGTGATATCTAATACCCTAAATTAAAGGCTTTGCTATTGAGGCTACTCATAAAGTAGAGGCCATACCCTATGCCATATGCCAAACTACAAATCAGGACAGCATCCATAGGCACCTGAGAAATAACAGGTACCTACCATACCTGTAGGTGTCCTGTTCTTAAGTGACAAGATGGCTCCATTTCAATAAAAAGGGCTAGAGAGTGGAACAGTGAATTGGGTACAACTGTTCAATGCAGCCAGCAGGCAGTAGCCTTTATGGACAGTCAGCAGGACAGTCCAATGGGATCCAGGATTCACATAACCCTTCCCAAGTGGAAGGGACCTTAGAGATGAAGTAGGCTTGCTCTTTCAACTTCCAAATGAGGAGACTGAGGCCCCAAGAAATAACTTGCCCAGAATCATACAATGATAAAGCTAGAACTAGAATCCCAGGTTTTCTGACTCTCAGCCCAGGATTCTTTCCTTGGTGACTTTCTTTCATTTATACCTTGCTGCCTAAAAGAAAGAGGAGGGAAGGAGAAAGAGAAGTGCCTAGAAATCTATTATGTGTCTTCTTTGAATCTGCATCCACCCTCTGAGGTGTAGGTATTATTATCCCATTTTATAGATGTGGAAACTGAGGGCCAGAGTCCCACAACAAAATGGTAGAGGTGAGACTTCAACTTGTACTGCAAGTCCAGTGTTCTTCCCATTACCAAGAGGCTACAGATGCTTTACACCAACAGCCTCATGCATGAGCGGAGCTGATATTCCCTCATCCACAGAGGGCAGCACACTATTTCCAGGAATGTTTGTGGTGTTACAACATTACTAAAAGCAAAGGTCTGAAAGAGCTAGAAAGCAGTATTGACATTGTGTCACTGGGCTGCACCTTATTGACATCGTGTCACTATGTTGTACCTTATTGGCATTGTGTTTTATCTTCCTGGTGAAAGATCTTAAACGTCTTTATGTATGATTTACCAGGTGAACGTGCCTTTATACCGGATGAAAAAAATACCTTGCCTTCCTTTAGACACATGCTGCTGCTCTTGTCTTAACACTGACATTTGAAAAGGTTTGAGAAATATTGTTTCTGGATAATTTAATCATTGTATTGATAAGGCTAGCAGGTTATTAATAAAAGGAAGGTCTTTTGGCCGTCTTTCTTAGACCAAAGACACCTAATGGCAGTGGGGTCATGGTTTGTATGCCCTTCAAAGAGGAGGTGTTCCCAAGGGGTGCCTACTCAACTCTGATTGGTTAATGCAATGGGAGGTAGACTATCCTGGGGTATGTGACTTAGATTCACCAAATCTTGGTCAAAGAGACATCAATTTCCCTATCACCTGTCTTAATAATAGAGAGAACCAACATTTTCCCAGGACCTGTCTGAATAAGCAACATGGGCAGAAATACACCCATTAGCTTAAACTTAGAATTTATTTTACTGTCTGATTAGATCTTGGCCTGGGTAAATTTTTAAGAGAGATTTCCCACTGCTGGTTGTTTCCAGGGTGAGGAAGAAGAAAAGGGGGAAAAGCTTGGTCTTAACATAATAATTAGTTACCAAATATAAGAGAGAAATATTCATTTCTCACAACACACTAATAAATATTTGAATTGAGTTGGATCAATTGAACCAAGATGAACTGAACAATAAGCAGAAAATCTGTCACAATCCCAGAAAATTGGGCAGTAGAGGAGTAGGAAGGGAAGATCACACCCTTATAAAATCCCCCAATAATCTGACTCTGTGAATGTATGGAGAGCTGTTCCCACATATAGACAGGCACCACGGAGATCACTGACATGAAGGATTAGGATCCTAACTCTGCCCCTTACTAGCCATGTAACAACGTGGGCCTCAATTTCTTCATCTGTAAAATGAAGATAATATCCATAATGGCAGCCTCCTAGAGTTGTTATAAGGTTCAAATGAACTAACATTTGCAAAGCATTTTGCAACCTTTAAACTACTATAGAAATGCTAGTTTTTAATCATATATAACATAGGAGACCCTTCTGAGGCCATTTCCCCATGTTCTTGACCTTGGAGGAGATCCAAACAGTCTGATTTACAAAGAATGCTCTAAATTAGCCATGAAAATAAGTCTTGACCCAAACATATAAGACATAAAAGATTTCAGACAGAGCTAATGAGAATTAGAAAATTAGCAGGTATTAAAAAATAAGCATCCTCTGCATTGTCCTATTTTACTTTTGTTTTACTTTTGTGAGAATATTTATATATAACAAGAACATCTGTAATAGCTACAAGGAATTCCTGTTGTACTATGTCTTCATAATGATATAGAAAATAGTAGAAGACTATACTGAGGGTCCAACGCACACTTTGAAAAAAAAAACGACTTAAAAAAATTTGCAAGGCTGTGAATCAAAGCATTGTATTGCAGTATATGCTATAGAGATATCTTAAATAACATCAGTATGAAAATAGTAACACTTTGCTTTTATACAGTGCTTGAGAATTTACAAATGATTTATAAGGGCCCTTAGAGCATATTGCATCCAATTCCATTCTCAATTTACAAATGAGGCAGAGAAAATGAGGCCTGCGATCACACAAGGAATAAGTGTCTGAGGCAACATTCAGACCCAGCTCTTCTTGACTCCAATTCCAGTGTTCTATTCACTATGTCATGCTTCAGACCATTTAATATCCATAACAACCATGTGAAGTAGCCAGAGTAGGTGTTATCACCACTACACAAATGAGAAAACTAGGGCTCGGAAAAGGTAACCACTTGCCTATGGTCACACAGCTAATAAGTGATGCTACTAGGATTTGAACTCAGCTCTTCTGACTCACAATATAGACAGTTTCATGAATGTGAAAATGCCCACACATTTTTCACTCAGAATTTTCATGAATGTCCTGATGGTTTAAGTGTGGTGCAATTTATTTGTTTTGGGAATATGGGAAATTGAGGGAAGTAGATGTCAGTTATTAAATTTAGAGAATCAAAGTAATTCAGTCATTTTCCATTCCCCAGACTGCAAAGTTGATTTGTCCTTTTTAATTGATGGGAGCTGGAGCATCGGCAAACGGCGTTTTCGAATCCAGAAGCAGTTCTTAAAGGACGTTAGCCAAGCTCTTGACATTGGCCCAGCTGGTCCACTCCTGGGTATTGTACAATATGGGTAAGTACGATTGCTAGCTCCAGAGTCATGGAGTCTGAGTACTTTGATACTGCTGGACAAATGATACCCAAGGACTTAACATTAAACATCTGTCCATATCAGTAGCTGATTTCTCAGGAGCAAACTAGTCAATCCATTGATTCATCGTCACTGGGTACGTAAAGATACAAATTAAAAGGGAACCACTCTTAAGGAGTTATTATATATGTGTATATATGTATATACACACATGTACGTATGTATGTATTTGTGTGGGTGTATGTGTATATGTATTAGATCTCTCCAAGTAGATTGTAAACTCCTTTTAGTGACACATTTTTGGTAGATTTTGTATTTTCTCACAGACCATTACATTCACACATAAGCACAGTGCTTACTACAAAGCTATAGTTCTGTGGTTGATTCAATCTATTGGCAAAACCACGTAAGCTGGGTCACAGAATAACAGAATCTCAAGGTTGGAAAGGACCTCATTGACCCTGTAGTCCAACCCACACTCAAAAAAGAATCTCCTCTAGAACAACTCTCACAAAGGGGCATCCACCCTTTGCTTGAAGACTTCCAGTGACAGGGGATGTGGGGATCCCACAACCTATTGAGTTAACCCATTCAACTTATGTGTGGCTCTAACTGTTGGTAAATCATAGAACTATAAAACATCAGAGCAGGAAAGCACTTTAAGGATTATTTAATCCAAGCCTCCTTTTTACAGATGAGAAAGCTAAGATCCAGAAGTTAAATCACATTAGGGATGACTTAGATTTAAATGTCTGTGAATGTTTTCATGCTATAACCTGACTAACTACACTGAAGTGTCACCTGGGTTGACATCCTTCGTATTTGGGTTAATGTGACATGATGGAGTAATAAAGCATCGTGTCGCTGTTTGTTTGGGATTTGGTATTTTTTACCTTTAATCTAGTGAAGTTACTTGAAATGTCTCAAAGTTACATTGTTATAGTTTGCTCCTCCAAGGTGAGATAGGTAAAATGAGACTTTAAGACAAAATGGTCCAGGTCTTGTAGTATGTTTTGAGTTGCTTGGAAAATTATGTATAAAAAATGCTTTATAACCCTCAAAGTGTTACAAAAATGTGCTTCAAAAGAGCCACGCGGAATGATGGTTTCTTTTTAAAGATAAGGTTTTTGGTATTAGCTTCCACCTGGAAGGTAGACTAACAGAATATTAAAGCTGAAATAAAAGAAATGGAAAGGATTTAGATAACAACTAGTTCAGCGCCTCACTTCCATTTTACAGATGAAGAAACTGAGGAGCACAGAGGGTATGACTTAACCAAGGTCATAAAGCTAGGAAATGGCAGAGATAAGATTCTGGCTGAGCTCAGTCTTCTGATTCTAAGTTCTTGGTTCTTCCAACTATCCCATGCTGCCTTTGAATTTGGGTTCTTGAGCTTTTTTTTATTGTGAATAAAGGTATAATTTCAAAGCAGGGATAATAAGGGAATAAGATGGAGCAGAGGACTTGGAAGCTATTTAATCCAACTCCCTCATTTTACAGATGAAGAACAGGAAGCAGAGAAAGTGATTCATATAGATTGTACCAAAAGTCTTATTGAAATTTTAAACTTCAATGAGGATCATGGATGCCCATGGTGATTGAAACCATTTGTAGCACACAAACCATCACTGGCCATATGCTCCTGCATATTTACATCCTGCTGCATGTCTTTCCTTTGCCTCTTGGGTCACTTGTAATTGAGGTTCTTCTGACATCATGGCACTCTATGTTGTTCAGCATGTAACATCACCAGAAGGATGATGGGATTACTAGCAATGAACTTTTGAGGCATCAAGTGATTTAGAATCATTGAAAGTACAGAACACTTTCCCAAATAAGATCCTTGTATTCAGTTCTGGGCCCACCAGACTGTTCATCTATAGCAGTTGTCTAAAATATGTTTTGATCAAGTTGCTTAACACGCATCTATTTCTTATCCCCCAATCTAATTTCATGCCACAATCAAAGCAATATGTATTGTTCATCTGCATTGTTTCTCCTCTTGGGATTACTAGTCCAATTTCTTTTGTGGTTTGTAATGTTGCAGGACTTAGTTCAACCAACACAAAGTTATCTGTAATTATGAGCATCTGGAGAACAGCCCTCTTATATTTAGACCATGTGGAGGAAGTTCTTCATGACCCTGGCAAACCCCTTTGGCAAGCTGAGGTCCCTCTGTTGGATGTCTCCCTTCATAGTGAGAGTCAACATACTGTTGATCAAAGTTATTTCTGTGGTTACATTTGTCACAGTCATGTGTGAGCAAGAGGTAATTTGCTGGGGAAGAGCCTTTCAGGTTCAATTTTGCTGTTTCAGGTCAAGTGCTTTTTTATTTCTTTTTGGGTAATAAACAAACAAAAGATAAAGTAGGGGCTTGTATTCTCTGTGCCTTTCAGACTTACTGTGGGACTACAGCAAACTGTTTGCAAAGATCTACCTTTCCCTTCTCATGCTTTCATCAAGAATATACTCAATTTGATGCACCATTATCAAAAATACTGCCTAGCCATGAGAAAGTTGGTATACCTGTTGTTTTCATCTCCTTGGTCACTTTTTTTTTTGGATAATAATAGGATTTTTTCCATTCTGTTGGAATTTCCCTCTCTTTGAGATGTATTAGGGGCAGCTAGTGGTGCAGTGGATAGAGCACTGGCCCTGGATTCAGGAGGACCTGAGTTCAAATCCGGCCTCAGACATGTAACACTTACTAGCTGTGTGACTTTGGGCAAGTCACTTAACCCCATTGCCTAACCCCCCCAAAAAAATTAGAGATGTATTGAAAATCATTCTTAGAGTACCCTTAAGATGTGTCACCTTCAGTATGGTTTTTCTTCTGTATGTATGTGGTCAGGTCTAACTGCTCTTCCCAAGTTTATTCTAAAATCCATTGCTGTTTCCTAGGGTTATGAGATGGGGGAGTCCAAAATGTAGAGGTTTCACTGTTGTGGCTAATGGGAAAATATCACTGGGAAAATATCACCAGAAAAATATTAGGAGATATGTTCCAGTTTACATCTATTTGTTCTCTACCCTCCCCCTTGCAGATTGTTCTATGAATGCTCTCAGGATGACCTATCTTCAGTAAACTTTGACATCAAGCTTTCTATCTATATGTTTTGCTTTCATGCCTCTCACTGCTGTGTGAGGCAATACTGCTATTCCACACACAACCTCTATTCAATTTAACAGACATTTAATTATCTACTACATCCTGTACCCTAGCTGGGTGCTGAGGATACAAAGGTGAATCCATGATAGTCCTTACTTTCACAAAGCCCTCAGGAGATGAGAACCTCACAAATAGAAATGCCACACAACATAACAAAGAGAGCTGGAAACAATGGAGAGGGGGAGAGAGAGAGAGAGAGAGAGAGAGAGAGAGAGAGAGAGAGAGAGAGAGAGGCAAAGAAAGAGAAAAAGAAAGAGAAAAGCAGAGAAACAAAGAGGAAAGCAGAGGAAAAAAAAAGAAAACCAGAGAGAAAAGCAGGGAGAGAGGGAAGCAAAGAAAAAGATAAAAAAAAGCAGAGAGAGAAGAAAAGCAGAAAAAAACAGAACAGCAAAGAAAGAGAAAAAAGAGAAAAGCAGATAAAAAGAGAGAGAGAAAAGAGAGAAAGGGGGGACAGAAGAAAAGGTTTCTTTTGGCTAGGAGGAACAGGAAAAGCTTCATAGACCAGGGCCTTGAATGATGGATAAAATTTCAACAGACAGAAATGGGCCATAGGGAGCCCAGGCACAGGGAATGGTGTAAGCAAAGGCAAGAAGACATTGAATAGAATAATTTGATTAGAAAGCAGAATGACTTTAGGTAAGTCACTTAACCTCGATGGGCCTTAGTTTCCTCATCTATAAAATGAAAGTTTGGACCAGATGGCCTCCAAGGTCCCTCCCTGCCCTAAATTTATGATTCTGTGATCCTAGAGAACATAAGAGAGATTGTGCTGGAGAGGAAGTTTGAGGATAGGTTTTAAAGGACCCTCAATGCTGGCATAACAACAGACATTTATTCAGCATTGACCCCATAAAAGACCCAGTGCAAGGTCCTAGGAATACAAAGAGAATGACGTGATCTGAGATCTTAAAGAGCTCACATTTGGGAGACCGGGGCAAAGGGGTGAAATACAACTTGTACAGGTACATAGGACTGGACCTACAATTTCATTGTTTTGAGCAACTCTGAGATATGGAAATGCCCCTTGCCAGGGCAGAACAGCACCTTCTCTGCAACTGACAGTCTTCCCAGAAGTAAAGTGACTGGCCTAGAGTCCCTCAGCCAGTAATACTATCAGAGGCAGGCCTTGAATCCAGGACTTTATGACTCCAAGGACAGTTCTCTACCTACTAGACCACTCTGCCACTTGTGTATATACTTAAGTGTAATCAAAGGTAGAGAATGATGAGGATGAAGGAGATTCTAACAAAGTGCTCTAGGAAAAAGGAAGAGGAAAACTCTCAGTTGACAGAGTGAGGAGATCAGAGAAGGCTTCATGGAGGAAGTGGCATCTAAGCCGAACCTTGACAAAATTCTCAAAATTCTGAGAAGTAGAGATGAGGTTGGAGTGCCTTCCAGAGGAAGGCAAGAGGGGCAGAATGACCTCCTTTGAAAAAATGCAGGAGGGTTGGAGGCAGCATGCTAGGGTCAGGGGACAGTCATGGACTATCTAGCTTAACTGGGACTTAGAGTACATGGAGGAAACTAATGTGAAATAAGGCTGAAAAGCTAGGCTGGAGCCAGGGTGTGGAAGGTCTAAGGAGTGTGGGTTTTATTCTATAGGCATTGGGGAATGATTGAAGGTTTTTATATAAAAATAACAGATTGCTCCAAATGCCAGCTTACATTTCTTCTCATCAAGACACCTATTTTGAGAGCTTCAAATTGAAAGAGGAAAGGGTTTCTATGCTCTTTCAGTCATTTTTTTTTCTTTTTCAAAATGTCAGCCTATTTTATTTAATGTGTTATTTTTGAAAACAGCAAACTGAAAGCA